GTAAATAAAACCTGATATTAGCTTATAAATTCAGATATTGGGTAGTGACAGAAAACATTGTGAATTGCCTGCGGGTTGAAGTTTTTCTCAAAGGCAGCATTAAGGTAAGAGTTTGGAGGACTCTTAAAAACCTAAAGGTAGGCTTTCATTGTATTGTATATATGTTAACAGCTGTATATAGAGATTAACCAATTGTCGCAGATCAAGGAAGATGCGAATTGGGGGGGCTGACTTGCAAAGAGAAAGGACATAAGTGAAATGTCTAACTGGTGGACACGGTCTTATGGTTTTTTCTTCAGCCTAGAGAACCAAATACACAGATTGGTTTCCCTAATGCAAGAGGGCTGATAAGTGCATGGTTCCTTTCTAATATTTATACCAGCCAGTGTGGGTAAGTTGTCCTCCAACAACCTGGTGAACTGGTAGAAAGGCAATAACCAGTTTAAAGAAGAAGTTCATGGTAGAAAGATCTCTTGTGGTTGATGTTGGAATCTCAGCCACAACTTTAGTTAGAGTCTTTTACTTATTATTTTAATTTATTGGCATGTAGAAGGTTTTCCTGCAAACAATTTAATTTAGGTACATGCACGTTAATAAAATAATTAAAGGAAAATGTAAATTGTATTTTGATTTAGTGTGTATTGTGAGAGTTTAGCACTTAGGGAGTGTAACATTTGCACCAATGATTATGGGAGTGTAACATTTGCAAAAAGAAAAATAATTGTAAAACATTTTTGTAACATTGTAAAATTTGACTTAGATGGTCATTTGAACTTCATGTTCTATTGAGGAGGTTCCTTTCACTTCCCAAAGACACAGCAGGAAGTGAAACCGAATCTTCCCAAAATAGGGGGGAGCTGTTTGTTAGGCAATTGTTACTGGAACAGGTATTCCCACTAGGAGGATCCTGAGACAGCTGATAAATTTTGGAATTCCCATAATTTTTTATCCTGGTAATAATGGTCACCAACACATATAAAAAGAATAAACCTCCCCAGCAGAGACACACCTGGCAAAACAAAAAACAAACCATAACCCTTCCACATGATATTTAGGGTGTTTTTCTTTTATTTTCACCCGGTCATCCTGCCAGTAAGTTGATTATTTTTCAACTTTACCAGGCCAAGCTGTCTAGCAAAAGAGGCATTTAAAGGGGTGTGGCATTGCGTGGCAATACCACAGTATAATGTGGCCTCAAAGTCACCCAGGACCCCCAGCAAGAGGGGCTGAGCGCCTCCAGGAAAGTACTTTTACCAGGGAAGAGCTGGCCTTACAACTTCTTCCGGGTTTTCTGGATTATAGTTGAGATCCTGGAGCCGGGAGATTTCTAAGAGAACTGGGAGGGAAGAAATCTCCATTCCTGCGTCCAGGCTTTAGTGGTCACCAGCTTTGTGCACCGGGGCACAGCCCTTATGAAAAGGATGCTGGTTCATGTTCAGGGTTCCAGCTGGAAGACAAGGGAGGTGTCTGTCCAGGAGGACTCCATCCTGGAACCAGCCTGTGTGGCACGTCAGCTAGATACAGCCTGTGTGGGAGAGGTTTTTAGTGATAACCTGAAGTCGGTGAGACTTGGAAAAACATTATTTTTCTGTACTGTGTTTGAAGACCCCTGTGAGGGAAACACCCGTGTGGACTTTTATGTTTGAAATAATAAAAGTGGGCAAAGAGGCCCTTTAAAAGACGTGGTAAGCGAGTGGAATCCGTCCTTAACGTACTACCATTGGAAGCTAAAACTCACAGGGTGAGACAAACCATTTTACACTGACAGGGGTGCTTAACATGGTCAGCTTTTATTAATTTATGTAAAAAATGTTGCTCTAACTGGTTAAAAAGTGTTAGCTGGGGCTGAGCTTGAATGTGTTAGTCAAATCCATCTAAATCTGCTAGTCCATCTAACACTACCCTCCCCACAAGGGTTGCTCCAATGCTCCTCCATAGAGTGGACCCACCTTAAGACAGGAAGTGTGTTATGGGCCAGCAATATATTGTATTTTTGTTTTAGTAGGGTTTAGATGATGTTTAATTTACACTAATACAGAGAGCTCCACTCCAATACAGAATATTAGCTTCAAAACTAACTAACTGTAGAGGTAATCATTAAAACGTTGAATAAACCTAAAGCATATAACAAAACTAAAGCCTCCTACCCTTTACAGCCAAAGACAGCACTATGTAAGCCTCTATATATATCTGCAGATGACATGACATGAACAAAGATGCTGTGCCGGGGCATATGCCACCCAAGGTGGCCATTTTTTTAGCTTCCCATGGCAAAGAGCATAGCCCCCTTCCTCTGTTCATACCACTCCTACCCAACTCCAGCCAACAACAGAGACAGATCACATTGCTGCTAGGGGATACTGACACTGCGCTCATGTCAAAAGTGCCTAAAGCAGGTTGTTCTTCACTGTTACATACCAGCTACTGTCTTCTTTCAGCTTTGATAAGCTGGTGTGCAAGGAGCACTGCAAGGGAGGAACTGAACATCAAGCAGCTCTGCTATTGGTGATTGGATGGCAGCATTATGGGTTACTAAGCTGTGCCAGTATGGACACTATGGCTTTAGTGCAATCCCCGACCGTGCTTCCATGAGTGCCCCCTGAGGCAGCCGCCTCTCTTGACCTCATTGGCAGCATGGCCTTGCATGGATGTAACTGTTTTGGGACACAGTTAAATCAGCGGCTTAAGTTCCATTTAAACTCTAGAATTAAAAAATAAACACTTACGTCTAACCTGATATTGACATCCTGTAATCACTGGCACAGCCACAGGCACTGTGAAGTAACCATAGCCAAAGCAGCTCATACGGCAGCTCAGGGGCCCATTGGTAGGAGGGGGGAGGCTTTTGTGTCAAATTAAAAATTGAAAACTGTGTTGTGATGTTGGACTTAACACAGAAGCACTGGGAAAGAACATTTTCCTGGCATTTAACCACACTGTGTACTAAAACATTCACGATTGATCACTTTCACATGGACTTAAATTCTGTTTCTACAACATTTGTATTTACTTATGAGCACTGGGATTTTTCACATTCTCACATGGAATAGAATCCTGCTTTTTGTAACATTTTAGTAAGTTTTAAACACATTTGGCCGAACGCTAGGTTAAAAGGAGAGCAAGGTTTCGGACCCCAGAATTATAAACATAAGATACGGCCTGTTCCCTCCTCCTGTTTCCTCTCTGGTGCGATCTGCCTCCCGTCACGACTTCCCCGGAGATTGAAGAAGTTGGTCTATTGACTTAACCTCCTCCAGCTGGGTGGCTAATCGTTAACTGGTTTATGCCATATTACAGGCCGATAGTTTCTATATATTCCTATATATGTCATGTAATATTTTCTGATATATATTTTTTCTTTTTGCCCTTTGCTGCTGTGTTGTCTATACTTAATGTTTGAATGCACATCAACATAATTACTGATTTGGTATGTACTGGTCCGTTTTTTTTAGGACCAGATCCTCCTGAGGAAGTCTTAATTAGGCGAAACATGTTGAGTCACCTAAAGAAAACACTTCTCATCTGCTCAACTGCTCATGACTAACTAGAATATTGCAACATAATATGCTATTATTTAGATCACATGTGTCAAACTCAAGGCCCAGGGGCCGAATCCGGTCCACCAGGCCATTTCCTAGACTTCTACTTTCAGATCTAGGTATTAAGTTATTACTAAAACCAGTGATAATGGAATGCAGAGGCAATTATGATAAAGATTAGATACATTTATATAGTCTTACAGGCCCTTTGAGGGCAACCATAATGTTGATGCGGCCCACAATTAAAGTGAGTTTGAAACCCCTGATTTAGATGATATACACCACTATACCAAATCTTGTATTCTTGTACAACATATCTTGTTTTTAAACCTTTTGTATACAATACATTTTTTACATACAAAGTTCTTTCTGAGAGCAATATCGTTTCTAAAAAGCCCCCCATCCAGATTTTTGATTATCTGGATATGGTCTGGTTACTTTGAAATTTGATGGTTTTATTATTATAATGTTAACATAAGGCAAACAGTTTTCTTTAACTCTTAGTGCCAATGGCTGCCAGCTGAACGATCCACTTGCTGTTGCATACTCAAAGTTATCAACAGTTTATCACAGTTTTTCACAAAGACTTGAGGGGCTGCTCATCCAAGGCTCTGGGGCTTCCACCACCAACATAAAAAACAAAAGAGAACAGAGCGCCACATCCGTGTGTAAAAACGTTTATTAAAATAAATAAAACAAGGGATAAATGTACTCACAAGCAAACGTTTTCATCACGCTTCAACAATAAACAAGAGGCCACACTGTCTGTTAACCCAACATGGTATCACCCCGACTATGTACCACGGCTGCCTCTGGTCACATCACCGCCCACCGGCCGCAGTAAGCCAAGATTGACACGTTTCTGGGGCAAGCCCCCTTCATCAGAATCATAGCTCGCTTTCCCTGAGAGTGGGGTATAAGACTGGAAACTGACCAATCAAATTCTCCATTATGACTTGTCTTGAAGTGATTGGCTCTAACGCAGCATTAGACGGCTGTATAATAGCAAATCCCAATATACGCATCGCGCGTGTGCGCCATGAGACAAACTATGACCACGCACAAGCTCATGCACAAGTGCTCGAGCACGATTCCAAGCGCATGGGCCAAGCCTGGTTTTCTGACAGTAACAAGGAGGCTCAAGGGGTGCAGGGTCAGGCTTGACTTTCACAGTAAAAGTCAAGACTTGAGTATAACTTTAGCTGCCAATAGCCAATCATATACTATGTTTGAGTTATCTGGGTTTGTAAAGTGTTTATTACCTGCAGAATAGCTTTTTTGTCCTGCAGAGGTTCCCAGGTTATACGAGTTCCTGAACACAGTAACAAATCCTTTGCCAGGTAAAATAACTCTCATATATTTATTTTAACTGTGTATGGAGCGGTCTGCCTGGAGTTCAGGTCAGTGTTTTGTTTAATGAGTCCATGACTTGATCATGCCGATTTTTTCCTTTCACATTCAGACTTTGCTGACACAATGAATGCCTCTGATCCAGTTACGTTGGTTCTATCCATCTTTATCTGTGTATTTTTGGCCATTGTCTTTTTTGGACGGAAAAGAACCCCCAACTTTCCTTCTGGACCCACACCCTTACCGCTCATTGGAAATATGCACATACTGGACATGAAGAAGCCATATAAATCATTTCATGAGGTAATACTGATATCTACATGTACATTTACCCATTTACTTTAATCCCTTCATGACTGAGCTTGTTTTCAGTTTCTGTTCGTAAATGACTGATGCACTTTTTACATTTTTGCTGTGTGATTCTTCCACGGCTGTAATATACTTTCTCACTAAATGTAACCACACATATTATATATTGTTTTTTAGAGGACAGATAGGGCTCTATAATTATATCAAACATGTGTACCTAACGCCTCACTTAGTTCAAATAAAATATTTTAAAAATGAGAAAGAAATGTAAAGAAAACACATTTTCACAAGTTTTTATTATTATTATTCTTTAGAAATGTTTATAATGACTATAATTTAAAAAATATATTTATATATCATTTTTATTTTCTTAATTTTTTTACACTTTATTTTTTTTATTACACTTATTTTTTTGTCAGTTTATATCAAGCAGTCACTATGACTATCTAACCCTATGATTACATTTTTAATTTTTGGTTATTATTAGGCTGCTCCAAACTTAGGAACAGCTAATAATAACCATAGAGACTGATCCTGACAGCATGTCAGAATCAGATCTCACTAAGGCCTGGTTCACACCTGCGTGTTTTACAGCACATTCCTACACGCTGTAAAACGCTCAACATGTGAAAACCAATGATTGCCTATGGGCATGGTTCCCACCTGGGCGTTTTACAGCGCGTGGGAACGCGCTGCAAAACACCCTACGCCCAAAGAAGTACAGGAGCTTCTTTGGGGCGTTTTGCCGCGCGTTGCCATTGGTATTCCCGAGTGTGGATCGGGGTTAACAAAGCGGTAACCCCGAGCAACACTCGGGAATACAGCGTACAGGTCTTACCTTGTCCGCGATCCCCGCTGTGTCTTCGCCGGTTGCTGTCTTCCGGGTTCCGTCCCTTGTGAGCGGCCGCGTCGCAGGGGGGCGGAGCCGGCGGGAAGTTTAAAAGTGAAACTAAAAAAAACAAACATTTTTTTTTAAAATAGAGAAAATAAAGAGGAAAAAAACTCATACCGCCAGTGAAACGCGTGTGTTTTACTGAACAAAAAAACCGCGAAAAAAAACAAGCTAAAAAAAACGCTCAGGTGTGGACCCAGCCTTAAGGTTTCTGATCGTGCCCAGACGACCAGAAGTGATACATTTCAGGCACAGAGATACATTATAACATTCCTGTTACTGAAATGTATCACACAGCTTCATAAACATGGGGCCAGTCTATAGAGCTGTCATAATGAATAGCAGATAGGTGACTCACTCTGCTACCTCTCTGCTATCTTTAGCTTTCAAATACCGGATCGCTATTTAGCTATTAATGAAAGAAAGAAGTTTTTACAAAAACTTAACTATTTTATTAATGATTGCCTCAACACTGCATTCATTAATGAATGGTAACCGCTGAGAATCAGCGGTTACCAGCATTACAGAGCAGCAAATAACTGGTCACGTACAGTATACATGGCCAGTCATTTAGGCGCTTCGTGGCGGGGCGTAAAGTGTACGTCTCCCGTCACGAAGGGGTTCATTAAATGTAACAAAATATGGAAATTCATTTTACCAACACCTACATAGCGAGTTTCTAGGTTCCTAAAAGGGTTTATAGCATTCCATGGTAGAAAGTGGTTAAAGTGGTTTCTTATTGCATATGTTTGCATCCAATGTATGATATTGCTTAAAATAAATAAATAGCTTGAAAAGTTGATAGACTATTGATGTCCCAAAAGCGCGAAAATAACATTGTTGATCAATGGTCTAATTTTGTTTAGTGAAAAATAAATATGTATTGTGAGGTTCAGGTCAGGATAGAAACCAAGTACTTCATTAAAAATGCCAGGTTTGTAATTATCTACCCAACGTGATTCTAAAGAATGATGTTCCTAGTGGCAGTAAATATGGATGAGCAACATAAGAATATCATACTTGGGATGATAGCAAAGGATACCTGGGGCACTCAGTAGAAGTCCTGGGGCATGTGCCCTGGTGCCAGGGTGTAGCACTTAACTGTAGATCCTCAAATCATCTCTGAGTTGGTGCTGACACTGTCCTTCCTTCTGGAGGGGGGCTACTTTTGTTCTCTATGGTCCTTGTGTGTGTTGTAAAGTAGCCAGCGCTCCAAGCTCGCTCCTGTGATGGATTACAATCTCATTACAAATGAGTAAACTAAGCATGAGATTGTAGTCCATCACAGGAGCGAACTTGGATCGGTGACTACTTTACAACACACACAGGGACCATGGGGAACACAAGTAGCCCCACCCCAGAAGGAAAGACAGTGTCAACACCAATTCAGAGATGATTTGAGGATCAAATTTGCTGCTAAATTCAGATTTGCCAAATTTTAAAACAGGATTTGCAGACCTCTCAGCTATTCAAACCCTGGCACATTCGCCCATATATAGTATTTTCAGCTTGATTTTTTTTTGAAAATGCTGCGTGGTTAAATATTAATACCACTGACATCTGGCCCAATTGCAGCTCGCTAAGAAGTATGGTCCAGTCTACAGTATCCAGATAGGAGAGGAAAAAATGGTGATCCTTTGTGGATATGAGACGGTAAAAGATGCTTTGGTAAATCACGCGGATGAGTTTTCCGGAAGGCCGATAATACCACTCTTCCATGACCTCTCTAAAGGACACGGTAATATGTTTTTCATTATGACATTTTCTGATGTTTTCTTGACTTCTACCAATCTTCTATCCTCTCTTTTTAGTCTGATAAATGTGAAATATTTATTCTTTTGCTGCCAGTAAGTGGTGAGAGTGATTCTATTACGCCATGGTTTTATCTGGTTACTGCTGTTTTGTGAATGCGGACCAGACAAGCAGGATGTCAAATGCACACAGCTGAATAGCTCAGAGGAAGCACACCCCCTCATCTCCTAGTAAAGACAGTGCCATTAGGATCTTCAGTTTAGGGGAGCAATCAGCCGGCCCAGAGCTAGTGCTGGGCTTTCTTACTAGACATGTCGGCAATTGATTGATGCAAAGTTAACGAAAAGTCCACTTTATTTTTAGTTTTCTGCTACTCCCTAACCCCTAAATAAAACCCCAAACAATAAATTACCCCAAATATCTGCTTACACTATTGATTCTAGAAAACAAATTCCTTACAGTCTTGATGCTAAAAAGCAATGGTTCTTCTTTTATGGCACACGTGTCAAACACAAGGCCCGTGAGCCGTATCCGGCCCACCAGGCCATTTCATGTGGCCCTCGCACCTCTACTACAGCTTTACATTTTTTAAATTAGGCCGGCATGGTAAACAGGCCCCAGGTTTTACAAGAAGGCTGCCAAGGTCCCCAGGAAGGTCCCAGCAGCCTTCCTGTAAATGGTGGTGCCCAGTTACAGTGCCAGAGGAAAATATCCTCATTCCTGTGGATCCACGACACCCACACCCGCAGAGACTGACCAGGACCCCTGGTGATCCCGCACAGCCCTCCTAAGACGCCACACAACCCAGCATAGACACCGCACAGCCACCTGAGATCCCGCACTGCCCACCATAGAACCTGCGGAGCCACCTGAGAGTCTGCACAGCCCACCATAGAACATGCAGAGCCACCTGAGAGTCCGCACAGCTCATCGTACACCCCACATAGCCCACTACAGCCCGCAACCAGTCCTCTGACGGCAATCAGAATGCTGATACGGCCCGTGATAAAATTGAGTTTGACACCCCTGCTTTATGGGATTGCCACACAGGAAGTTAGCTGCTATTGGAGACAATCACTTTAGGCCACTTAGGATTTACAACAACCTCTATACTTTGTTGGTGGACTTACAAAGTTTAATCTTTCTACCCCTCAGGAGTGATTTTTGCCCACAATGAAAACTGGAAAGTGATGAGAAGATTTACTCTTTCAACACTACGAGATTTCGGGATGGGGAAGAAAACGATCGAAGACAGGATTCTGGAAGAATGTGACTGTTTGGTGAAAAAGATCAAATCATTCAAAGGTCTCAAAGTTGGAATTCTTGGGTGACATTCATAAATAAATGCCATATTTCAAAAAAGATGATACAGGGATAAGTGGGAATCATAAATTAATTTCTAACAATGTCATGTTACATGCTCATTGGAGGACTTTTTTTTTTAAATTAAAAAAAGTATTCACTTTTCTATTTTCACTTTAAGAGTGCGATCCATGGTGTCTTCCCTCTTCTTGTGCTGAGCTAGGCTGGTTCGTTCTTCCTTAAACCTCAAACGCCCCAAAAGTTGCTTTTTAAGGTCTCATGGAATTCTGGGGGAGGGAATTCTTTAGTATTCCCTGAGAACAAAATGTATTCATCACCTTAATACCATATAACAAAGCCTTTTTGTTTCTGATGTTCCAGTGGTGTTGTTGAGTAGTTTAGAGGCTACCTCAGCTGCTTGGTCTTTGTCATCACAATAGCAGAAAGGCTCTAATTTTTTGGTGGACTTCCAAAACCAAGCTACACCTACACTTCTTAGCTTGCATCGGGTCACATTGTGTTCTGAGCACAGGCTGTATTATTCCAAAGACAGTAGAGCAGCTCTTCAAGAGATGGTGCTCTGCCATCTTCTAATTGGCTGGATTTCTGAGTAGGGGGTAGTTAAGCTCAGCAGCGGAGGAAAGGAACACCTGTAATCTGGTCCGCCTGAAAGTGTAACACTTCTTTAAGAGCGATGACTAATGGGGAAATCCTGTTTCTCAAAATGTTAAACCACATACAGTATACATGCTATGGAGCTTTACTTCCAAAAAATATCAGCTGTCTTTCTCCTTTTATTGTAGGAGAACCTTTTGATAACAGAATGATCATAAATGCTGCAGTAGGCAACATAATCGTTTCCATATTGCTGAGCCATCGATTTGATTATGAAGATCCGACAATGCTGAAGCTTTTGAAAATAGTTAACGAGAATACCGAAATCCTTGGCAGCCCAACAGCAATGGTAAGCAACTAAAGGACACCATTGATGTAGACAATTCTGGGTAGACATGCAGATGCGACCACTTCGGTTTAAGCAGTTTTAACATTAGGATAGGGCAGGCCATCATTATGACCCAACCAGGGCTCTATTGCATCACACCAAACAGTCAGTCTACCACTGTAAACATGCTTACAAGAGGACAGAGTACAGGGGTGACCTTCTTCCTAACTAAAATGATGATAAAGTAGGAAAGCCTGGATTTCACCATTTATCTCCCCTTCCCACTGGAGCAGCCCCCTTTTTTTACTAACATTTTTTCAGGTGGTCCTCTTTATCCTCTGCTCCCTTCAGCAGTGGACAGATCCTATATGCTGTGGAGGGCTGTGCCATGTAACCATGTAAAGCCACTCTCTACCAAATGTATTGTTCCAACATATTCCAACAATGCACACCAGTGGTTGCACGTTATAAGCACCATGATTCTTGCCCACTGGTTTGGATGGGCCCTTACTGATGTAGCACCACCATTTCCACTCAATTCTGAGCATGAAGAAATTTGCACCAGTCACTTCCTGAAAGGGTCAACAAGATTCATTAGATCTGAAACACCCTTGGGGGAGAGAGGGATTAGAGCACAGGATACCTGAAAAGAACAAATTTAAACTCTACTTACAGCCATACAGAAAAAAAGGAACATTAATGCAGGCCGGTACCCTGTATTCTTCAGAGTACCATAGCACATGAACAGTTGTAGCACACAACCCTCTGGATGAGCCACCAGACCTCCTGCAGTGTTCAAGCATTCACCTTGCTCTTCAAAACACTATCCCTCAGACAAAGTGTTTCCTGGTGCTCAAATCCAGACACCAGCTTTACTCCTTCTGGGAAATCTCTACAACAAGCCACTGAAAGTTTATAGGACCTAAGTTCAGGCCTAGGTTTTTTCTGTAAACATGTGTCTTCCCTTGGCACCAGGCTTTGGAGGTCAAAGAGACTCAGTGGTACACATTCTCCCCAGAATGTTTAAATAATCACGGTTCCCCTTGATTATTCAAACATTCCTCAGCATGCACCACTGCGCCTGTTTAACCGGGGAGATATAAACATACATAACTCAGGCTATTAAAGGAGAGTTAAAACACTCATCGCCTTCATTCAAGCGGACCTGTGATACTGATGCTGTCACACGTTGGCTCTATTGATGGGGAAGTCAGCGAACACACACACCCGATCAATGACTTCCTGATCATCTCCCTGCAGAGAGTGGTGACTGTCAGTCACCTCTCCCTGCAGGGATTCCCTCCCTCCCCTTTCCGTTTGTTCGCTATTGACTGGAAGAACGGACAGGGGAGGGGGTGGGCAGAGCCAGCTGTCAATCAGCCAGAGGGGTGGATCTCGACAGTATTGTCAGGATCCATCCCGGCTGCGGTGCTCTCAGCATATAGCCGACAATAGCCGACTATATGCTGAGCTTTGGGTCACAGGAGGATATTAGTATATGTACCCCATAGTTCTCCTTTACAACTTCCCACACTGTTGTAGGGACACTCCTCAGCGAAAGATGGAAGTAAACATTAACATTAACTTAGCGGTGGAAACCTTTAGAGGAAGAACTTTCAACTCAGACCTAGGCTGACTACAGCCCAGCCGCACTAAATTTGCAATATGGACTCTCCTGCTTAGGGAAGGGTCCCTACACCGAGTTTCCAAAGTTTTTTTATTTAACCTTAAAGATGACTTTATTACAGATTGATTGAAATACATTGGCATGGCTATGAACTTGTGTTTGATAGGGCTGCATCAAATGCTGATAACATGAATTGGGATTAAGAATTAGGTCATGCTATCAGAATTTGCTGCACCCCTGTAGTACACCAAGCCAATTATGGGGTTCATTTATAAATGTATGCCCGGTGGATGCTATTTGCATGGCACTATCATCCCTAGTTGGGAAATTCCTATACGACTAGTAAAATCTGTATGTGTCCCAATCAATTTTAATTGCTCTGTGATAACACCTTTCTAGTCTATACCAGTTTTACTTTAAAAAAAATCAATTCTATACAGCATCTCCCAATTCTTGTGAAATTATTATTCCTAATTATATCAGTCAAGCCCTGTAAGCAAATGGCCAATGTCCGGTCTTGCAGGGGCTGTGCTATTTTAAAATCCTGCTAATCCTCAGCTTGAGTTGACAAATTTGTGTGTAATCGATATCATACAGAACAGGAAGTAACAGGAACCCCCCCGAACGCACACTTCCTGTCTTTGTGACAAGAGTCAGAACCATCAGACAGAACAGGAAATGAGGGGAAAGCTCACCAATGGGGAAAAAGGCAGAAATAAAAAGGCATTTTCTAGTACAATGAGGAAGGTTTGGATCCTCTACCAGATTTTATTGCTGCTCGAGTGGGAGGTCTCTCCGCACTCCCTGCCTCCAGGTCAGACAGAACAGACAGTGAAGAGAAATCTTCCCAATGAGACACAGACAAGACAACGTAAAAAGCAAAAAAAGTAAATGAAATATAATTGTATCTTTTTATTTTAAGTACATTTCTTTATTTTATATAAAAGATATATTTTTTAATATAGAGTAAGTGTATAGTATGTGATTGTTTAAAAGTTGTTGTTTTTTATTTTTTGGGGGGCAGCTGTATAATGCATTTCCATCGCTGATCCGCTGGTTGCCTGGAACACACAAAACAGCGTTGAAAAATATGAATGAAATGCATAGATTTGTTAGGGAGACCTTTACCAGCCAAAGGAAAGAGTTGGATGTCAATGACCAGAGGAACCTATGGTTTTCGGCTGACAGTTCAGTCTTTAAACACTTTAACAACAGCTTATCTTGAACATTTAACGAATTCTGCTGTTTTGCTGATACTCGCTCCATGGCTCCGAGCGCCAACAATCATCCCACGTTCAAAGGCTGTTACATCGCGTTGTTTCCCCGTATCTTCAGAAACAAATCACTTCTACTGTCGTGGTAACCAACCTGCTTCCCTATTTATAATGGTCTGGCCCTCTAGCAACTTCAGCGTGAAATTATAGCTAATTTGCCTACAAACGTCAGGTGTTCATAATAATCTGGCTACTCAGTGTATATACTGTATATACATATTGCTGGATTGGCTAGGATTGGAATGACCCCATTTCTTTTCTTTAAATATGTTTATAGGAATAACAATAGTCACATAGCCCGTATCTGACCACTAACTCACAAACTTTGCACACCTTACTTTTTCAGGAGAATCCAAATCATGAGTTATTTTTCACTAATGAAAACCTGACAGCGCTTGTAACTGACCTCTTTGCTGCTGGGATGGAGACCACATCGACCACCCTTCGCTGGGGAATTCTACTGATGGTTACTTACCCAGACATCCAAAGTAAGATAGAAGAATAACTTTTCTAAGCTCTCTAAGTTCTTCTCAATGAATAGAAGAACAACTGTGTTGTTGATATAACATCTGTCTGGAAATATTTTTGATGACCAATTCATATTTTCCATTTTTGGGACATATACTTACGGTTATATCCACTAGAGAGTGCAGCCCCCTGTATGTCAGACAATGGAGTTGGCCTCCTTACCAAAACTGAGAAATTAATTGAAGAATGAACCAATAAGAGAGAACATCATTTTGATTATGTTTTGTCAAAGTCTTTCAGTAACTTAGCAGTCTGTCTTTGAGAAGCCATTGAAGGGTCATAGGCATCTAATTAGTTAGGAATCTTGAAGTGTTTTAAACCTTTGCAGTAAAATAATTTGCAAAGGTAATCCAGCGCATAGGCAGTCAGACTGACTTCAGATAGACTTGTGTAGCCACCTTGCCTTAAGTGGGGTGCCTGCCTAAATTTAGTTCTGCTGGACAGCATCCAGTCTATGCTGATTTGATAGTCTGTGATCATTTGGTTTCTCCTAAGCTCTCTGTTTTTGTATGTAACTGCCTGCTGCTGGGTGTGACCTTGCAATAGAGCCGGACATCCAATAGTGGTGCTTTATGAATAGGTGTGTCTTCCTAGCCAATCACTAGGAGGTTCATGGCCAGTGGTGCATGCTGCAGGAGGACGTAAATATTCTGGACTGAGCTTGAGATACTTTTTCTTCCCTCCTGGGCCTCCTGCCTGGGGAAGGGTGCGTAAAGTGATTTGCTGTCAGACCAGGCCTAAAGCCAGCAGGTGGCCAGGTATGAACCCAGTTGAGGTCTGAATCTGTTCCTGGGATGGAGAACTTCATCTGTTGGAGGTGCCAGAGAAGCCAAAATTGGGCTTGGACCTTGCATGAAGTCTGGTGTCTCGCCTAGGGAATTCTGTGCTACGTCTACTGACCAGCAAAGGTTCTACAGAACACAGTGTTACTGCAATCAGTTTAAAGGCCTTCTGTGAAGCCAGGAATTGATCAGCGATTCCGGAGTTCTGTACTGTCCTTGATGTGTGTATCCCTTTACCCTTTCTCTCATTAGTTTGCTTATGGAATAAAACCTTTGCAAAACCCTTACAGAGAGTGGCGTCCAACTTTACATTCACATTCCGCCAACAGCTAAGAACTCATCCCTGAGGTGAAGTATCAGTCCATCTTGCCTTTGAAATCCCCCACATGCTCCTAGGGGTCAGGGGGTGCTACACTTGCATCTAGGGTATAATTAAAACCCCCCACTAATTTACCCTACCCAGGATCAACGTATCCCCTTTAACTGATCCATCCCTCCATCTCTGCATTAACCAGTAACAGAAAGGGTTGTTTCCTATTGACGCATTGATTTGGAGCATGAAGAACTAAATCTGTGCATATAAGATCCAATTATGGAGGTGAGATACAAAGTGTATGGAGACCTTCTGACAATAGAGAACTGGAAATCCAATGAGTTTGGATTTCACCAATGTTGAGATACTGTATGTTGAGACATTGAGCACTGATGTAGAGTTTCTTATGGACACTGAAGGTTTAACAAACGCCTAAACTACCCCAGGTGTTACAGAAGGAAGAGGCTACAACTTGTTTTTCATGGTGGACAGATTATTTTTATTGTTTCTATTCAATATAGTGGACTTTTTTTTGCTTCTTAAGAGTAATACGTGGCAAGTAAAGGCAATTTATATATATTACGCAGTAAGCAAAACAGAGAGAAGCTTACGCAATGCAGCATATTTACATAGCCTGTTGGATAATTCGACCACATACAGTACAGCGCTCGGACTTTAGTCGAGTGGTGGTCACGTGGACAGAAACATGGATGCTCCGTTTACGTGATTGCACCATCGAAGAACAATGTGCCATAGTGTGCCATCAGATTTTAGCTCAGTATGGTCATAGCACCATGAATCAACAAAAGGTTTATGAGTGGGTAGAAAGGTTTAAAGCGAGAAGAACAGGTGTAACCTTAGAAGCTCATTCTGGTTGTCCATCAACATCGGGCACACAAGACCACAACAACAGAGCAGATGCCTTGATTAGAGAAGACTGATGGATAACAGTGTCTCAATTGGCTGCACATTTGGATATCAGATATGGATCCGCATTTGCCATAGTTCATGATGACTTGGGATACAGGAAAGTCTGTTCACAATGGATTCCCAAACAGCTTACTGCTCTGTACAAGCAACAGCGTGTGGAGGTTGCAACCCAGTTCTTATGACTTATGAAGAAGATCAGAGTATTCTGGAAGGAACTGTCACTGGACACTGCACACCTGGCTTCTGCAGCAGCCAAAAAGCTTCTTCTCTGCAAGAATACAGAAGCTAGTTGAAGGATACAACAAGTGCATCATCTTTCATGAGGACTATGTGGAAAAGTGATATGTTCAAGTGCTCACAGTTACGTCTATTAAAGCCTTTAAATGTATTTTACCTTTACTTGTTGATTCTCCCCTCGTATAAACCTGACTGTTTGATTTATATAAGAAAGGAGCTGAGTCGACACCTGGCCAATATATATAATCTTGCCTGGATAGTAAAAATGAACCGTGCTTTGCAGTATGCATGCACGGCAGTATATGTTTTTTTTGTAAATAAAAATTCAATACAAAACAATGTAAATATAAAATTGGCCAAAAACTATTTCCCTTTAACCATTTACTCTTCTGTCAATGTCTGTAGTTACCCTGTGAGTATTTAATAGATGAACTAATATTTAGAATCCTTCCACAGAGTAAATAACGCATTTAATGAAATATAATATTTTGTTTCTACATCTGACTTGACTGTACAACATTTTTTTTTCCTTTTTTGTCTTTTTGTTTTAGGAAAAGTTCAGAATGAGATTGAAAAAGTGATTGGATCATCAGCACCACATACGGGTCACCGGAAGAACATGCCGTACACAGACGCTGTTATTCACGAAATTCAACGATTCGGAAACATTGTTCCGACCAACCTCTCACATTCTACTACTCAAGATGTCCACTTCAGGGGTTTCTTTCTTCCAAAAGTAAGTAGCAGGTTGTCACTGTGCCTCCTTAAGTCATGCTTCAGAGGAGATGGAATGGAGATCCTGCCAGCTTTGGGCCAGGTTCTGTGGAGCTGTAGATGACCATCAGTAGAATACTGTATGTAGTTTGGAACTTGGAGTATTATATGAAGATGAGCAAAGTGACACTAAACTCGGGAGTTAAATCTTAAAAATGCATTCAAATGCTTTAACTGTTAACAAAAATGTCTCTTATATGTGTATCACTCGGCTGCAGATCCTCAAATCATCTCTGAATTGGTGCTGACACTGTCCTTCCTTCTGGAGGGTCACTTATTTTGTTCTCCATGGTCCCTGTGTGTGTGTGTGTGTTGTAAAGTAGTCACCGCTCCAAGCTCGCTCCCGAGATGGACTAAAGTCTTACATTTAATTTAGTAATTTGTATTGAGATTGTAGTCCACCACGGGAGTGAGCTTGGAGTGGTGACTACTTTACAACACACACAGGGACCATGGGGAACAAAAGTAGCCCCCCTCCAGAAGGAAGGACAGTGTCAGCACCAATTCAGAGATGATTGGAGGATCTACTGCCGAGTGATACACAAATAAGATACATTTATGTTAATAGTTAAAGTACTTGGATATATTTTTAAGGGTTAACTCCTGAGTTTAGTGTCACTTTAAATGGTGGACAACTCACTGTTGTGGGCAGCGTACATGTTACTTATGGCAGCGGAGTTAGTGAGGTTTGAGGCAAGATTTGAGCCTCCTGTACCAAGAAATTGCCCGTGAGGTTGCCCATATGGTGTCTAGCAATACTGAAAAAATTGCATGCTGGAGAAGCCAACATTTTATATAGGCATACATCTTGAATACTCTGCAAGAAAGAGACAAGACCAGCACAAATGGTGATACATTTAAACACAATTATCTCCACACTATTCTTCCTTTATAACAGGTATTTACAGGAGGTATGTGGTCACCTTGTATAAATACATAAAAGGATTCATGTAGTAGACTTGGCACCAAGTTGCTCACTTTAGGTTTCATGAGTCCACTTATACAGTATGCATTAATGCATCAAACAATTGTTCTGAAGAAACCATGGGATCAAACAACCAAAACACATTAACAGAATAACCTTTTTTATTGAACTACTTTGTACTCCTTCTCTTCTCTATCTACACCTCCTCCCTTGGTCAGTTAATAACCTCACATGGCTTCCAATACCATCTCTATGCCGATGACACTCAAATCTATCTTTCTACTCCACAACTCACCCCCTCAGTGTCCTCTCGTGTCACTAATCTACTAACTGACATATCCGTCTGGATGTCGCAACACTTCTTAAAACTCAACCTATCAAAAACGGAGCTCATGATATTTCCTCCCCCCCTGTACACCTTCCCCCAACATTTCCCTTGAGATTGTTAACACAACTATCCAGCCCTCCCCCCATGCCAAGGTGCTAGGTGTCATCCTTGACTCGGACCTCACCTTTCTTCCCCACATCCAATCACTATCCTAATCCTGCCGCCTTCACCTTCGTAACATGTCCAAAATACGCCCCTTCCTCACCAATGAAACCGCAAAATCACTCATCCACTCCCTTGTTATCTCTCGTCTTGACTATTGCAACTCCCTCCTCATTGGCCTTCCACTACACAGGCTCCTCCCTCCTTCAGTCTATCATGAATGCAGCTGCTAGACTCATTCACCTAACCAACCGCTCTGCAACTCTGTGTCTGCATCCCCCCTCTGCCAATCCCTACACTGGCTTCCAATAGCCCAAAGGATAAAATTCAAAATATTCACAACCACTTACAAAGCCGTCCACAACTCTGCCCCCGGCTATATCTCAAACCTTGTCTCAAAGCATCACCCTAATCGTCCGCTCCGCTCTTCAAAAGACCTTCTGCTTTCCAGCTACCTCATCAATTCCTCCCATGCTCACCTCCAGGACTTCACTAGAGCCTCTCCAATCCTTTGGAACTCTCCACCCCAACCAGCCCATCTATCTCCCACTCTGACTGCCTTAAGGCGATCCCTTAGCCTATCCCACCTCAACCTAACCACTGAACTATTACTTTCTCAAACAATTCATCCCCACACAGCTACCTCCTCATGTATCACTTCCCCCTCCCTCTCTTTAGATTGTAAGCCCTCACGGGCAGGGCCCTCCTTACCATCTTGTCTTGAATTGTGTTGTAATTGCAACATCTTCCTTATATTGTAAAGCGCTGCGCAAACTGTTGGTGCTATATAAGTCCTGTATAATAATAATAATACAGTATTGTCACTAATTACATGTTAATATTTTTTCAGGGGACACATGTAATTCCATTGCTGACCTCCGTGCTGTTCGATGAGGCCCACTTTAAAAGACCAAAGGAGTTTTATCCGGAACATTTTCTGGACGCTAGTGGAAATTTTGTGAAGAATGAAGCCTTCATCCCATTTTCAGCTGGTGAGTTAAAGATAAAGCTGAATTGGTTTTTATTTTGACTACTTTTCCCCCACCCAATCAACATGCTAATAAAATGTTACTGTTGTCATTGCAAACCTTATTTTGGACTAATTTCATCACTGGGGCTCGGTGGAAGATCATAGCTGGAAAGAGGGGCTGGCATGCTACTGTACAGAGCTGCAAATATCAAATGACCTTTATCAGTGGGGGTCAGTCTGGAGGAGTGGGCGTTCATAGGGGGGCTGCTTTTGCATACAGACTGCCGTAGGTAAAGTTCACATTTGACGCTGAGCCTCCATAACTGAAAGAACTGGAATCCAAAAACTTCAGTACGCAGAAGTTGTGATGGTTTTACATTCACTCTAAAGTGCAACTAATGCAACTATAGGAATCGGATGAGCTGTTTTTATCAAGGTCTGTATTCCCGTTAGGGAGATTCACCCCGTCTATTGGTCCTGGTGACCGTTACCATTGAAAGTGAAAGGAAATGCCAAATTTCGTTTTTCCACTAGAACAGTAATAGATGAGACATTTCTAAAGGGGGACACTAGTTCTGATGACTCTGCTGACCACCAGGGATTTCCTCTCTTTGGAGGGGTTTCCTCAAACTTCCCATTGTGACTATCAGACAAAAAAATTCCCCAATGGTGACAGGGGTAATGACGCTCCCTGCCTCTATACCAAACCATCCAACTATGCAGCAAACCCTACCACTCCCATTACCAGAAGTGGTCGGAGGTTTGGCTGAAGTCGGGCTGGCTTGTTGTACTAATACGGGTACATAATTTCACTCTATATGTCCTTCTGTCCCATTACATAATATATAATTTGACATAATAGATAATACATAATATAGTTCCCCCAGAACTATGACAACCTTGAATGCAGCATTGAAGAGGAGGAGGACGGGTATGGGAAGAGAGGCCGGCGATGGTAAAGAGGCCGCCCCTGGCAGTCTGGCCTTCCTCTCCGACCCGTCCAGCTCCACCATTAAATGGGAGAAGAGGCTAGTCTCTTGAGGTGGTTGAGGATGGTAAAGGGAGGAACTGATCAGAGAGGAGGTGAGGGGAATGCCTGATCAGGGAGATGGTGGGGGAGGATGGAAGTGGGTGGTACTGATTAGAGGGGAGATGGGAGAGAGGGATACTAATCAGAGGAGTGCTAACAGTCCATGGGGTAGGGGGGCGCAATACTTGCCTACTCCGGGTGCTAACAACCAAAGCTACGCCACTGAATGCAGGTCACACTCATAAAAAGATATTTCCGTAATGACATCTCTCTGTCTGTTCCTCAGTGTCGGTCTGGATTGCTTTTCTATATTCTTTTAAACAGTGTATCACCTGCCGCCATCAAGGATATTCAAACTCGCTTCAGAGTAATGTCATCTATATGAGGTTTATGTGGCCACTGACCTCCTCAGTGAACCCTGATATCCTTATTATTTCTAGCAGTGGGTATATAAGTCCAGTTCTAATAATCTGATAATATATCTTCTACATCTTCTAGGTAAAAGAAGCTGTGCCGGCGAGACGTTGGCCAAAATGGAACTGTTTTTGTTCTTTGTGAGCCTTCTACAGAACTTCACCTTCCAGGCTCCTCCAGAGGTTATGTTGAACCTTAAATCAGCAGTTGGGCTCACACGGGGTCCTATGAGTCATAAAGTTTGTGCTGTGTCCCGTGTATAATACTGGATCATGACAATGTGATACAACTTTTTATTAACCTGGCTCATTATACAGAGACTTCACAAATAAATTGTGGAATCAATGAAGATCAACCACCATAAGAAGGTCGACCTCAATACTTCTAACTAGTCTGTGCACAATTAGGTGTATCTACGAAATTCCTAAATATACAACTTAAACACAAGAAAAAAATAAAACATAAAATAATATTTTAAAAAAATCTGTTTAAGGACCCGGTAGGCCTTTTTTATTTAAACAAAAGTTCACACATCCACATCAGATACCCATTCAGGGGGTGTTCAGTCCAGCATCCATGCACTGCTTGCAAAACAACACAAGTATAACCTCCTGGCTTCCACTTTCAACATGAGCACTTCTGACCCAACAGTCCACTCTGTAGTGCTGTCCTGCACTTGTACTGGCCCCTCAGGCTCTTGGCTCTCCCAGCCCCACCAGTTCTCCCTGGCTGTCTTTGTGTGCCTCCAGCGTCCACACCTTCTGACTCGACTTTGACTTCAGGGGGAGTCCTCCTGACTCCTGAACACCGCCTGTTCCTATTTCCCAGCAGGAGCTAATTCCCATAGCCAGCATCCTTTTCCTAAGGGTTGTGCACATCTGTGCAATCATTGGGTTCTGGTCACTGCTAAACCCTGGACCCAGGACTGGAGCTTTCTTCCCTCCTAAATCACTTTAAACCCTCCCGCTTCCAGAATCCCAAGCAGAATACAGAACATCCATAAAGGACTTAAAAGCCAGCTCTTTCCCTGAAAAAAACTTTGCTTCCTGACACTTCTTAGCCCCTCTGGCTAATCATAACAACAAATTCCATTGTGGGATTGCCACACCATACCACACTATGGAGACATTGACATTGTCACCCTAGGAGAGGAAGCATGTTAGGTCTACAGAACATCTAATTTCTTATATTGTAAGGGGGAGGTTTTTTGCAGTCCACAACGAGAACTGGGCAGTGCTCAAAATACTACTAACTGATAGCAATGCAGCAAAGGCAGAGTGTACAGGAAGCTATAAGCTCAATGGACTTCTGGCAGGATCAAAAGGTGTCGCTTTACACTAACGAAACAGGTCTAATTAAATGGTAATCCGCAACACACACCGCTCAAATTCCAGATTTGGCTTGGACAGGGCCGCCGTCAGGGGGGTACGGCCGATACCATTGTCATGGGCCCGGGCCACTAGGGGGGCCCGTAGCTCCAAGCCATAATTTTTCGTATTGAATTATATTAAAAGTTAAATTTGCCTGGTCCCGGGCCCCCCCGCGCTATTGGTATCTTCCCCTGAGCTTAGTGCCTACAGGGGGCTGAGCTTAGTTTGCCCGGGCAGAAGCGCGGAGGAAGAAGCCGACGAGCATGTCTGCTGCTGCTGCCGCCTGCCGAGTCCGACTGCCTGGATGGGAAAGGTAAGTGTTTCCCCCTGGTTCCATTCCAGAATTTCCAGATATACAGGTGAAACTCGAAAAATTAGAATATCGTGCAAAAGTTCATTTATTTCACTAATGCAACGCAGCCGTCTACCAGGAGATTTTGGAGCACTTCATGCTTTCTTCCGCAGACGAGCTCTATGGGGATGCTGACTTCATTTTCCAGCAGGACTTGGCACCTGCCCACACTGCCAAAAATTTTCTGAGATTGTGGATCTGGGTTTTAATGTGCTGTAAGCCATAATCATCATAATTATGACAAATCACGGCTTGAACTATCTTGCTTTGCATGTAATGAGTCTATCTACAGGTGAAACTCGAGTAATTCGAGTTTCACCTGTACTGCCAATCCTAAAACCTGGAGCACTCTCTGTTATGTATTTTTCAACACCCATCCTCTCTATTTCTGCATCATACCCGGCCTCTCAATTCCAGCATCAAACCCGTCCTCTCTATTTCAGCATCAAACCCGTCCTCTCTATTCCTGCATCATACCCGTCATCTCTATTCCTGCATCATACCCGTCCTCTCTATTCCTGCATCATACCCATCCTCTTTATTCCAGCATCAAACCCGTCCTCTCTATTTCTGATTTGCTGTATTCCTCTATAGCTGGCGTTATTCTGCATTGCAATGCTGTATAATGTACTATATTGCACACCACACTTTTTCTTTTACTTTCACCACTCCAAGCTTGCTCCTGTGGACTACAATCTCAGTACAAACTAGCAGTCCATCACTGGAGCCTTTTTTTTCTAATCCGATTAATCAAACTTAATAATCGGCTAACTAATCGATTTACTTGGATTGTGATTGCGTCCCGGGTGTAGGCAAACAAGTATGCTGCCCATACCAACCAAGTTCAGAAATAACCGCACTCTAAGGGTCTTCACTGCAGATAAAAAAAGCTTTATTTATAGAGCAACTAGATACAATTCGTTCCCAGGCATGCTCAACCTCTAACTTATTTCACCATATTGGCTTACTCATAGAGAATCTCTATGAGTAAGACATAATGGTGAAACACATTGGGGGTTGAGCATGCGAGGGGAGGAACTAACGATATGTATTTTCTCCATCAAGTGCGACACCGAAGTGCGGCTATTTCCAGACTTGGTTGCTATTGGTGGAGGCATAACTAAATTAGCCAAAAGGGAGCAAATAAGAGAGGTTCATTGTTGGGGTTTACATACAATTTAGCTTTAGATAGATAATAGTCGCCCTGTACTAAAGTCCAGATAAAAGTATTCTCTTCTTTATTTTACTTTATACACCTTCAGTTACCAGACAGAACCAATTATATGAGAGGGTTTAACACTAACCTAGACCTCCATTCTAAGTAGGGTTGCACAGATACCAAGTACAGTACTCGGTACAAGTACGAATACATGTACCGATACTTTTGAGTTCCAAGACTACACTAGAGAAAAATTCAAAAGTTAGGAGGCCGCTGTCATGTGTAAGAAGCACACGGAGCTCCCGGGATTTGTACATCTCTGTTTTAATGTATGATTTTGTTTTTATAAATATAAATAAAGTGATGCACAGATACCAGTTTTGTGAGTACGAGTACTGGTACTTGCCGAGTACTTACAAGTACGAGTACTGATACATTTTTGTTTATTTTCATGTGACAGTTTTTCTAAAACAATACCGACTAATGATATCAGGACAGTGGTGGAGCGCCAGAGCCAGGTCCCAGCTGCAACCGCTGCAACCCTGGTAGTTCTCATGAAAATGCCAAGTATCGCCACTGGTACTTGAAAAGTATCTGTGCATCCCTAATTCTAAGCAAGAACATTTCTATATTTTCCAACAGCAGAGATGTTTAGCTCTCTATAAATAACCTCCTTCTCAATTATTTTTCAGTTTTGAAATTTAGAATGGATCCTATTAGGCAAATATTAGACACTAAGCCCTTTTTGTTGTCTTTGCTTGTTCTACTTTAAGATCATTGAAAGTCTGAGGTGGTAGACTGTATCTCTACCAGGGACGTGCGGTCAGGGGAGGCAGGTGAGGCAGAGCCTTGCCTAGTATTATGGAGGAAAAAGCTGTCAGCTTCAAGTCTGAAGCTGACAGCTTTTTCTCCATTCAGATTGACTTGTAACAGGTTACAGAGCTGGGAAATCCTCCCCGCCTGTAACCTGTCATGGACGGAGCGCTGCCCCATTGCTTGTGTAACCTAACATAGTGAGAGAAGAGCTGTCACAGCCTTTACTTTGTGTTAGAGGCGTGAGCTCTGTGGATGGCTTGGACTAATAGCAAAGCGCCATAAACAGAGGAAGCAAGTTGTTCCGCTCGCCCTCCCTTATTCATGGTTGTTCGGTTGTAATATATATGTGTTTGTCACAGCAGCTTGGTGGGTTGTCTTTGGGAGTCTGAAAAATTGAAATGGACACAAAAACAGGGAGGGGGCTACATTTGGTGGTATGGTGCAGTGCTTCTCCCATTGGCGCATTGGCGTCAGTTTTTGATGGGGGCTTGGCCCCATGGGAAGTTGGGAATAGTTAGAGAGGATATGTGGTGGGGGTAGAATTGTTCTATTACATACTCATTTAATGAAGAAGAATGAAAAGTTTTTACAGAGTACTTCCTGTGAGAGAAGAAAAACTACAGATTGCATCACCACCTTCATCACTAATGCTGAAGAGAGAGAATGTGCAGACTTTACAAGATGGCATAGAACTCCGGCCTTCCCTTCAGTCTTGCCCAGTTGTACCGGCTCCTCTCCTCTTACTCTGATGTCACTGCACACTGGGAGCTTCTCACAATGTGCATTAGAAGCTGCAGCAAGTCCGATAGAACCCGCTGGCTCTTTCCTGGCTGGAGGATGTCCAGCCTCATGTAGACCTTTCTTTCCCAGCCTGACTGTCCCTGGCCTGCCCCTTTCATTCACTGTAATTTTGGTTCTTTCAATCATGGAGGCTCATCATCACGTGGGTGTTATCTAGGGTGGACTCCATGCAAATTAAGCTTACGTAAGAACGCCCACGTTTCTAGACTGACTTTCACATATCAAGGCATTAAGGCCGGGTGCTGTGATGTGTCAGGAAGATATGTACAGCACTCTGCCGGCCCCGCCCACCAGCCATGATCTGCCTGCATTAAGCAAAGAGACCCAGTGATTACATCATTAGCATGTTGATGGGGGACAGGAAAGGCAAAATATAAGCAGATTAAACTTCATCTTTATTATAAAATATGGATAAAGCAAAAGGTAGCACAAGGTTTCAGGAATGCAGGCATGCACTTTTTTTAATTAGCAATTTCAGAGTGTTTGCACAAAAAGGAGACTAAACTTCTGCTTGGGTTACCAATAAATGACACTGGGAACTCTTTGTTAATCACAAGACTGGCTGCACAATTTTTGCTGAGTAGCACAATCAACATCTAAGCATTTCACTATTGACCTGGACTTCCACCTGTGCGGCAGAAAGCATAGTCATTATTCCTCATTTATTACTTTATAGACACTTCTATTTTGGTGCTTTTATTTGCTACGATGATAAAGACAGACGGACTCTGAGTTTTACTATTTCAGTATTTTTTTTATTGGAGAATAGTCACATGACAGCTTAATTAGCAAGTTGTGAACACAGGCATCGTATAAATGATCTATCCAGTTACACTGTATAATAACTAACATAGATGACTTGGATGTAAAGTTTGGCAGACATTAATTAGCTGCAAGGATGCGTAGTAAATAGTGATGAGCGGAAAGTGTTTATATTACTGTCTCGGTTTTAGAGATGTCCCCTCGCTTTTTGTCCCCATGACCAGGCAGGATAAGTGACTCCTATAACCAGAGCCATCCCTATAATGAGGCATCTCATTTGGTTGTGTGTGGGAGGGGTAGGGGGGGGTAGCAGGTGTGCTTGTTGCCCCCTTATTGGCTAGAGCATCCCAGGTTGCTAAGAGCTCTTAGAAACCTGCAACGCTCTGGCCGGGATCCCGCCCAGCTAATGGAAACCAGTGACGTCAGTGAGGTGAGATGGTTGCCACCCCCCATAACTTATACCACTACCCAGATAGCAAGGATAACTTGCCACGGAAGACGGATGCCAGCATCGGCCGGTGGACACAGCGTAGATTGTGGACAAGGTAAGTAACACGCTGTGTAATCCCGAGTGTGGCTTTTGGTAATAAAAATTAACCCTGGGCCACACTCGGGATTACCACTAGGGAGGTTAATATCATTTTATTCAGTCAAATTTTAATATACAGTATGTTGTGGATGACCCTTTTATGTTCTTGCAGAAGGGATAAATATGACGTGTTAGGTACTGAACAATTCAGTGTACACAGCCGGTGCTGCCACTAGGCAAACTAGGAAGCCGCCTAGAGCGCATTGCTGCCTAGGGCGCAGCCTCCACCACTCACCCCCCCCCCCCATTTCAAATTGCAAAAGCCAATAGCAGAGTGGCTATTGCACCTGCCCACTGCGCAGAGGAGTGATCCTATGAGATACATCTCTCTCTCAGGTCCGCTCCTCTGCTCAGTTGCTGGTGTTTCAACAGCCAGTCTGCTATTGGCAATTTCAAATCAAAATAGCCAATAGCAGTCTGGCTATGGTCCCAGCTGCTTACATCCATCTATTGCCTGTGGAAGCTAGCTGGCTGGACAAAAGGGCTGTTTGAGGAGGGGAGGGGGTCGATAGGGGGTTGCTGGGGGGGGTGCAATTAGCTGGTCTTGACTAGGGTGCAAAATAGTCTAGCACCGACCCTGGAGGTACAGCCTTCTCACTATCACATTAACAATTAGGAGTCTTGATGATAAACACAGTCTACATGTCTATTAATCACTATATTATTTTTTTAGTGATGATAATGTATCATTGGAAACGTGACAGGTTAAAGCAAACCAAAACAAAGGGAGCGATTTATAAATCTTCCTCCCAGAAATACGTTGGATGAGGGGCATTTGCAAGGGATTCCCACCACTAGATGGAGCTGAGGAGCAAAGGAAATTCCCATGCTACTCATCTCCATCTAGTGGTAGGAATGCTATGCGAATGGCATTAAACCAAACATATGGCTGGGAGAAAGATTTATAAATCAGCCAAAAACTGTCAACTTGTGTTGGGCTTTGGAGAACATTTCAATAAAACTTTGTCTTGTTTTGAAAAGAGTCTTCTCATCTCCTTTTCTTATATTCTCACTGCATGTGGTTTGACATTAGTCCACTTTAAAAACAAATTGGTTCTTCAAAGATAATCTTCAAGTTGATGATAAAACACGACTAAAGGACAGTCTTCTGTCTTACCACTTAAATTATAATTTTGGCTATTTTGGTTCCACCTTTGAAGACCATCATACCTTCCACTTCTAAAGTATCAATCCAAATATAGCCAATTCTGGGCTCAGTGGTAATCAGCTGAGATCATTTCAATATTTGATGTATGGTATATATCCTATAATCATAGATGTCCCTCAAATGTATTAATGTGTAGGCATTCCCAAACAATGAAACAATATAATGGAGAATGTTATGTTTTAAGACCTCATCTTTCATGACACTGCTCCAAAAATAAAAGAATTTGAGCTTTATTAAAGTAGACTGCCACCAACGTGGTTTCAGAAGAACCCTTTCTGAGAAGAAGAAAAAATAAGTCTAAGACACGTACATGTCTGAACAAGGAAACAAACAGGCCTATTCACAAAATGGTGAAGAGTTTGGAGAAGGCAGGAGAAGTGAAAAGGTCTAGGACAACATAGCTGATTTGGAAACATACTCCAATTCAGCTCACTTTCCAGTTCAGCTTCTGTTGTCCTAGATTGGTCACTTCTCCTGCCTTCCCCAAACTCTTCACCCTTTTGTGAATAACCCTGTTTATGTCTGCTCCCGCTAGCCTGAAGGAGCTTTCCTTCCTGGACTTCTTGTGTCAACCATGGTGATACAATAGTTAATGTAGGTAGAGATACAGTCTACAACCTCAGACTTTGAATGATCTTAAAGTAGGACAGGCAAAGACAACAAAGGGGGCTCAGTGTCTAATATTTGCCTAATAGCAGCCCTTCTGGATTTCAAAACTGAAAAATAATTGAGAAGAGGTTATTTATGGAGAGCTAAACATCTCTGCTGTTGGAAAATATAGAAATGTTCTTAATCAGAATGGAGGTCTAGTTTAGTGTTGAACCCTCTTATATCAATGGTTCTGCCTGGTAACTGAAGGTGTATAAAGTAAAATAAAGAAGGAAATACTTTGATCTGGACTTTATAATATGGTTGACGGTTCATTCTGGTGTTCCACAGAATTATTGGGGCTCAGTAATGTAATATTTAGTACCGCGCTACTATTATCTATCTAAAGTTAAATTGTATGTAATCCCCAACAATGAACCTCTCTTATTTGCTCCCTTTGGGCTAATTTAGTTATGCCTCCACCAATTGCAACCAAGTCTGGAAATAGCCGCACATCACCCAATTCAAAAATCTTTATTGATGGAGCAAATACATATCGTTAGTTCCTCCCCTAGCATGCTCAACCCCCAATGTGTTTCACCATAATGTCTTACTTATAGAGGTTCTCTATGAGTAAGCCGATATGGTGAAATAAGTTAGAGGTTGAGCATGCCTGGGAACTAACAGTATCTAGTATCAGTATCTTGCTCCATAAATAAAGGCTTATAAATAAAGGAGATGTTCTGTAGACCAAATATGCTTCCTCTCCTAAGGTGACAATGTCAATGTCTCCATGGTGTGGTATTGTGTGGCAATCCCACGGTGGTGTCATGATCACCCAGGACTCTCAGCCAGAGGGGCTGAGAGGTGTCACGAAGCAAGGGTTTTTTTTTTTCCAGGGAAAGAGCTGGCTTTTCAGTCCTTTATGGATTTTCTGTATTCTGCTTGGGATTCTGGAATCGGGAAGTTTTAAAGTGATTCAGGAGGGAAGTAAGCTCCAGTCCGGGGTCCAGGATTTAGCAGTGACCAGCACCCAATGATTGCACTGGTGTGCACAACCCTCAAGGAAAGGGTGCTGACTAGGGAAATTAGCTCCTGCTGAGAAATAAGAGCAAACTGTGTTCAGGAGTCAGGAGGTCTCCCCCAGAAGTCAGAGAGGATTCAGGTGAGCTCCGGCTGGGAAACAGGAACAGACGGTGTACAGGAGTCAGAAGGACTCCCCCAAAAGTCAAAGTCAAGTCAGAAGGTGAGTACGCTGGAGGCACACAAAGACAGCTAAGGAGGCTGGGAGAACTGGTGGGGCTGGGAGAGCCAAGAGAGGCCGCCAGTACAAATGCAGGACAGCACTACAGAGTGGACCGTTGGGTCAGAAGTGCTCATGTTGAAAGTGGAAGCCAGGAGGTTATACTTGTGTTGTTTTGCAAGCAGTGCATGGATGCTGGACTGAACAACCCCTGAATGGGTATCCAATGTGGATGTGTGAACTTTTGTTTAAATAAAAATGGGCTACCAGGTCCTTAAACAGAAGATTTTTATTATTTTTTCTTTCTTGTGTTTAAGTTATTTAGGGATTGTGTAAATACACCTAATTGTGCACAGACTCGTTGTATCACATTGTCATGATCCAGTATTATACACGGGACACAGCACAAATTTTATGACTCAGAGGACTCCGTGTGAACCCAACTGCTGATTCCAGGCTCAACATAACCCCGGGAGGAGCCTGGAAGGTGAAGTTCTGTAGAAGGCTCACAAAGAACAAAAACAGTTCCATTTTGGCCAACGTCTCACCAGCACAGCTTCTTTTACCTGGAAAATGTAGAAGATATATTATCAGTTTATGGACTTATGTACCCACTGCTATAAATAATAATGATATTGGGGTTCACTGAGGAGGTCAGTGGCCACATAAACCTCATATAGATGGCATTACTCTGAAACGAGTTTGAATATCCTTGATGGAGGCAGGAGATACAATTTTCATTACAATATAGAAAAGCAATCCAGACCGACTCTGAGGAACATATAGACAGAGAGATGCCATTACGCAAATATCCTTTTATGAGTGTGACCTGCATTCAGTGGCGTAGCTTGGTTGTTAGCACCCGGAGCAAGGCAAGTATTGCATCCTCCTACCCCGTGGACTGTTAGCACTCCTCTGATTAGCATCCCTCTCTTATTAGTATCCCTCACCTCCTCCCTCTACCATTCTCCACCTCCTCTCTGATCAGTTTCCCCCTATACCATCCTCAACCACCTCATGGGGTCAGATGGCCTCTTTAGCTCCGCTGGCCTCTCCTCCCATATCCATCCTCCTCTTCTCTTCTTCACTGCTGCTGAAGTAGGTTGCCCTACTTCAGGGGGAAGACATTCCGGGGTGCACTCCACACACACTGTTTCTGAAGTAATGGGCCATTCTGCTGCAAGCAGCGCCACCCAGCGGCTACTCTGCACAGTGTTCCGTCACCCAGCAGCACTCTGTTGGCCCCACGGGGAAGTTTTAACCAATGCAAACTCCTCCATTGCCCTCGCTCCACGTTGTGCCCCTGCCTGCATTACACTTTTCAGGAATGGCAGAATGTGGTGCTAATAAAAATATAAATTGCAGGAAGTGCAATAACCAAGACATCAATTTCAAATATATCAATTATATATTATATTATTTATTATGTAACAATATATTTTATGTAATGGCACAGAAGGGCATATAGAGTGAAATCATGTACCCGCATTAGTACAACAATCCAGCCCGACTTCAGTTAAACCCCTGACCACTTCTGACCACTAATGGCAGTGGTAGGGTTTTCTGCATAGTTGGATGTTTTGGTATAGAGTCAGGGAGTGTCATAACATCGTTACATAGTTACATAGTATTTGAGGTTGAATAAAGACATAAGTCCATCAAGTCCAACCTATTGTGTGTGTGTGTATATAGGTCCCTGAGTGTTCTTATTCTTAAGAGTACCTGAACCCTTGTACATATCGGTCTCTCAGGAAATCGTCCAAAAGCTTCTTGAATGATTCCAGACTATTTGCGGAAATCACTGCTTGAGGCAGCGAGTACCATACCCTAACCGCGCGAACTGAGAAGAACCCCCTCCGCCCCTTGTGTTTGAATTTTTTTTCTACCAGTTTTAGGTGGTGGCCTCAGCAAATGTCCCAAAATAAAAACCAATTAAACTTTATCTTTAACTCACCAGCTGAAAATGGGATGAAGGCTTCATTCTTCACAAAATTTCCACTAGCGTCCAGAAAATGTTCCGGATAAAACTCCTTTGGTCTTTTAAAGTGGGCCTCATCGAACAGCACGGAGGTCAGCAATGGAATTACATGTGTCCCCTTAAAAAATATCAACATTTAATTAGTTACAATACTGTACAAAGTAGTTCAATAAGATAGGTTATTCTGTTAATGTGTTTTAGTTGTTTGTCTCAGGAGACGTATGCTGGCCATTGTTTTTTCATTTAGTCTTCTATTTGATCCAATGGTTTATTCAGAACAATTATTTTATGCAACAATGCAATTACCTGCATTTACCTGACCTTTTTTGTTGAGAAAAGTCAATCAGGACCTTTTGGCTTTTCTGGTATAACATTGTGTTAGCCTATTGAACTTTTTGGAGCCAATATTTTGATTGAACTGGTAGGTTCAATAATATTATCATATGATCAAAAGTTGGTGGACATCTGATCACTCTTATATGAGCTTGTTGGACATCCCATTCAAAAACCTTAACCATTAAAAAGTTACTGACTTGCAGTTGTCTTTCAAATTCATCTAAAATGTGTTCAGTAAGGTTAAGGTCAAGGCTCTGTGCATGACAAAAATTGTATACTTACATATCGGTCATTTTCCTTTCCTGACGCCAATCCATGGCAGCATACAATGGGTATGGCTCCGCCCCAATTGTATGCTGCCATGGATTGGCGTCAGGAAAATTGTATACATACCCATCAGTAATTTTACTTTCCTGACACCAATACATGGCAGCATACAATGAGGGCGGAGCCATACCCATTGTATGCTGCCATGGATTGGCGTCAGGAAACTTGAGTTCCTCCACAGCAAACTCATTAAAACATGTGTTTATGGACTTGCCTTTGTGCACACCAGAGCAGTCATGCTAGAATAGAAATAAGGCCTTCCCCAAACTATTTCCACAAGGCTGGAAGGGCACAATTGCCTAAAATGTCTTTGTATGATGTAGCATTAAAGTGTATCTAAACCCAAAAGCAAAAATGTAATGTATTGCAGCTCACCAATTCCCAAACCTGAACTCTATTCGTTGTAGAGATGTTCACATACCAATAATCTGGTTATTGAATGATTGGATTAATAATGTATGGGGAATAGACATATACAGTCATGGTCAAAATAATTGGCACCCCTGCATTTCTGTCAGATAATGCACCACTTGGCGCAGAAAATTGTTGCAATTACAAATGTTTCAGCATTCTCATGTTTATTTATTTTTGTTTGTATTGATATGACACAAAGTAGCAAAAAAAAAGCCACATCTGACACGCAAAACTCCAAAAATGGACTGGACAAAATGATTAGTACCCTCAATAAATATTTGGTAGCCCAGCCATGAAAAAAAATAAAATAACTGAAGTCAATGGCTTCCTGTAACCATCACTGAGTTTTCTTACACCTCTCTACAGGAGCCAACTGCTCCAGGTCTCTCAGATTGGAAGGGACCATGGGGAACAAAAGTAGTCACCCTCCAGAAGGAAGGAAAGTGTCAGCACCAATTCAGAGATGATTTGAGGATCTCCAGTCGAGTGATACACAAATAAGAGACATTTTTGTTAACAGTTAAAGCATTTGAATGCATTTTTAAGATTTAACTCCCGAGTTTAGTGTCACTTTGCTCATCTTCATATAATACTCCAAGTTCCAAGCTACATATTTTACTGATGCTCATCCACAGCTCCACAGAAACTGGCCCAAAGCTGGCAGGATCTTGATTCCATTTCCTCTGAAGTGTGAATTAAGGAGGCACAGTGACAACCTTCTACTTACTTTTGGAAGAAAGTAACCCCTGAAGTTGACATCTTGAGTAGTAGAATGTGAGAGGTTGGTCGGAACAATATCTCCAAACCGTTGAATTTCGTGAATAACAGCATCTGTGTACGGCATGTTCTTCCGGTGACCTGTATGTGGTGCTGATGATCCAATCACTTTTTCAATCTCACTCTGAACTTTTCCTAAAATAAAAAGACAAAAAAGGAAAAGGAATGTTGCACAGTCAAGTCAGATGTAGAAACAAAATATTATATTTCATTAAATGTGTTATTTACTCTGTGGAAGGATTCTAAATATTACTTAATTTATTAAATACTCACATGGTTACTACAGACATTGACAGAAGAGTTAATAGTTAAAGGGAAATTGTTTTTGGCCAATTTTGTATTGAATTTTGATTTACAAAAAAAACATATCCTGCTGCTCATGCGTACTGCAAAGCACAGTTCATTTTTACTATCCAGGCAACATTATTTATATTGGTCAGATGTTGGCTCCTTTCTCACATAAATCAAACAGTCAGGTTTATACGAGGGGAGAATCAACAAGGAAAGGTAAAATACATTTGAAGGCTTTAATAGACGTAACTGTGAGCACTTGAACATATCACTTTTCCACATAGTCCTCATGAAAGATGATGCACATGCTGTACCTTTCAACTAGTTTCTGTATTCCTGCAGAGAAGAAGCTTTTTGGCTGCTGCAGAAGCCAGGTGTGCACCCCGTCCTTTACATCATCATGGGAGCACCTATGTTGTGTCTCCAGTGACAGTTCTCTCCAGAATACTCTGATCTTCTTCATACGTCTTTGTCATAAGAACTGGGTTGCAACCTCCACACGCTGTCGCTTGTACAGAGCAGTAATCTGTTTGGCAATCCATTGTGGGCAGACTTTCCTGTATCCCAAGTATTCGTGAACTATGACAAATGCGGATCCGTAGCTGCTATCCAAATGTGCAGCCAATTGAGACACTGTTATCCATCAGTCTTCTCTAATCAAGGCATCTGCTCTGCTGTTGTGGTCTTGTGTGCCCGATGTTAATGGACAACCAGAATAAACTTTGAAGGTTACATCTGTTCTTCTCACTTTAAACCTTTCCCCCCACTCGTAAACCTTTTGTTGATTCATGGTGCTATGACCATATTGAGCTAACATCTGATGGTGAATTTCAACTGGTTTCACTTCCTCTGCCCAAAGAAAGCACACTATGGCACGTTGTTCTTCAATGGTGCAATTACGTAAACGGAGCATCCATGTTTCTGCCAATTCTGGCTTGTGGGGCACCTCCAACAGATGAAGTTCTCCATCACAGGAACAGATTCAGACCTGGACTGGGTCCATACGTGACCACCTGCAGGCTTCAGACCTGGTCTGACAGCACATCATTGTATGCACCCTTCCCCAGGCAGCAGGCCCGGGAGGAAAGAAAGAGTGTCTCAAGCTCCGACCAGAAGATTTACGTCCTACTGCAGCATGCACCACTGGCCAGGAACCTCCTAGTGATTGGCTAGGGAGACACGCCTATTCATAAAGCACCACTATTAGATGTTCGGCTCTATTGCAAGGTCACACCCAGCAGCAGGCAGGTACAAACAATTACAGAGAGCTTAGGAGAAACCAAATGAGCACAGACTATTGAATCAGTATAGACTGGCTACAGTGCCGCAAAACTAAATTTAAGGAGTCACCTCACTTAGGGCAAGGTAGCTACACAAGTCTATCTGCATTCAATCTGACTGCCCATGCGCCGGATTGCCTTTGCAAATTATTTGACTGCAAAGGTTTAAAAACACTTTAAGATTCCAATCTCATTAGATGCCTATGGCCCTTCCATGGCTTCTCAAACACAGACTGCTAGGTTACTGAAAGACTTTGACAAATCATGACCTGAATTATGTTCTCTCTCATTGGTTCATTCTTTAATTACTTTCTCAGTTTTGGTAAGAAGGCAAACTCCATTGTCTGACATATAGGGGGCTGCACTCTCTAGTGCAGGGGTGCCCATTAGGTAGATTGTGATCTACCAGTAGCTCTCAAAGCTGATGCTGTTAGATCACGAAGGGTGTGAATGGCGGCCCCTTTATTCCATTTGGGTATATTTATTTAGCTGTGCACACAAGATTACCTATTAGCCTGAGTCTGCTGAGCCAAGCTCCCTGACTTCTTTCTGGTGGCTACTGGTGGTTGAAGTGCTATGTATTACATCAAAGACTATTAGATTACACAGCCTGTTGCACTGCACTGTTTGCAAAATACAGCAAGATGAGCCAGGTGAGAGAGGGGGGAGAGACAGCCAGGGGAGAGAGCAAGGAGAGACAGCCAAGAGAGCGAAGAGAGACAGCCAGGAGAGAGAGAGCAAGGAAAGACAGCCAGGAGAGCAAGGAGAGACAGCCAGGAGGGAGAGCAAGGAGAGACAGCCAGGAGAGAGAGAGAGTGAGGGAGGTTTTTTTTTCGTTGGTAGATCTCATGTAGCTCGTCATTTGAAAAGTAGATCTTAACACAAAAAATTGGGCACCCTGCTCTAGTGGATATAACCATAAGTATATGTCCCAAAAATTGAAAATATAAATTGGTAATCAAAAATATTGCCAGACAGATGTTACATCAACAACACAGTTGTTCTTCAGTTCATTGAAAAGAACTTAGAGAGCTTAGAAAAGTTGTGCTTCTATCTTACTTTGGATGTCTGGGTAAGTAATCATCAGTAGAATTCCCCAGCGAAGGGTGGTCGATGTGGTGTCAATCCCAGCCGCAAAGAGGGCGGTTACAAGCGATGTCAGGTTTTCATCGGTATAACATAACTTATGATTTGGTTGCTCCTGAAAAAGTAAGGTGTGCAAAACTTGTGAGTTAGAGGTTAGAACTATTGGTATTCCTATAAACATATTTAAAGAAAAGAAATTGGGTCATTCCAATCCAAGCCAACTCCCTTAATATATATATATATATGCAGGTGAAACTCGAATAATTAGAATATCGTGCAAAGTTCATTTATTTCACTAATGCAACTTAAAAGGTGAAACTAATATATGAGAGAGACTCATTACATGCAAAGCAAGATAGTTCAAGCCGTAATTTGTCATAATTGTGATGATTATGGCTTACAGCTCATGAAAACCCCAAGAACCCCAAATCCACAACCTATTTGTCTTGTCTGTGTCTCATTGGGGAGATTTCTCTTCACTGTCTGTTCTGTCTGACCTGGAGGCAGGAAGTGGGGAGAGACCTCCCACTCGAGCAGCAATAATCAAAACCTTCCTCATTGTACTAGAAAATGCCTTTTTTTCTGCTATTTTCCCAGCTAGGGATACTAGTGCCATGCAAATGGCAACCACCGGGCATTCTTTTATAAATTAACCCCATAATATTGGCTTGGTGTACTACAGGGGTGCAGCAAATTCTGATAGCATGGCCAAATCCTAATCAGAATTCATGTTATCAGCACTTGATGCAGCCCTATCAAACACAAGTTCATAGCCATGCCAGTGTATTTAATCAATCTGTAATAAAGTTATCTTTAAGGTTAAATTAAAAAAAATTTGGAAACTCGGTGTAGAGATCCTTCCCTAAGCAGGAGAGTCCATATTGCAAATTTTAATGATTAACAGAGGCAGAGCCAGCTGTGCCCACCCTTTCCCCGCTCGTTCCTCCAGTCAGCACCGGAGAAATGGAAAGGGGAGGGAGGGAATCCCTGCGGAAAGTGGGGACTGACACTCACCACTCTCTGCAGGGTGATGATTTGGAAGTCATTGATCGGCGGTATGTGTTTGCTGACTTTCCAATCAATAGAGCCAACCTGTGACAGCTTCAGTATCACAGGTCAGCTTGAATGAAGGAGATGAGTGTTTTTTACTTACTCTCCTTTAATAGCCTGAGTTATGAAGGTTTGTATCTCCCCGGTTAACCAGGCGCAGTGGCGCATGCTGAGGAATGTTTGAATAATCAAGGGGAACCTACTGGAAACTACCCTGCCTTGCAAGCTTTGCCTGGGGACAATGTGTACCACTGAGTCTCTTTGACCTCCAAAGCCTGCTGCCAAGGGAGGACACAAGTTTACAGAAAAAACCTAGGCCTACAAACTTTCAGTGGCTTGTTTTAAAGATTTCCCAGAAGGAGTAAAGCTGGTGTCTGGGATAGTGTTTTGAAGAGCAAGGTGAATGCTTGAACACTGCAGGAAGTCTGGCGGCTCATCCAGAGGGTTCGTGTAAAACTATACCTGGACGTGTGGGTCCACTAACGTGGTGTACAGGAAATGATGCAGCTTCTCTGAATAGATGGCCCTAGTTAAACCTGCCAGTCCTATGGATCATTGCTGAATGGTCTTTCAGCTTCTGTGTGTGTTCCCGTGCTTCTGCCTGTTCCAGTGTTATGCTGCCCTGACCCGGATCTCCTTTGACTACGCCTGACTGCTGCTTGACCCTGGCCTGCCTGACTCCATCCTGCTCCAGCAGTGTTCTTCATTGTCCTTTCAGCTGCATCCACAACTGCTTCCTGCCTCTTTGGAGACCAGCTTCGGGGCTTACCCAGGCACAGTGCCCTACACCCTCTGGTAGAGGTGTTGCTTTCTGTCCTCTCACTCCCTATCTCAGGCTTGTGGGACAAGAGTACCAAAGGAGGCGTCCTCAACTACTCTGTTCTGTACCAGGTACGTGATATTTCGTGTGCTACAACTGTTCATGTGCTATGGTACTCTGAAGAATACAGGGTACCGGTCTGGATTAAGTATGGCTGTACGTAGAGTCTAAATGTGTTCTTTTCATGTATCCTTTGCTGTGATCCCTCTCTCCCCCAAGGGTGTTTCAGATCTAATGAATCTTGTTGACCCTTTTAAAAATGACTGGTGCCAATTTGAGCGAAAATGGTGGTGCTACATCAGTAAGGGCCCATCCAAACCAGTGGGCAAGAATTATGGTGCTTATAACGTACAACCACTGATGTGCGTTGTTAAAATATGTTGTAACAATACATTCAGTAGAGAGTGGCTTTACATGGTTACATGGCACAGCCCTCTACAGCATATAGGATCTCTCCACTGCTGAAGGGAGAAGAGGATAAAGAGGACCACCTGAAATAATGTAAGTAAAAAAAAAAAAAAAGGGGGCTGCTCTAGTGGGAAGGGCAGATAAATGGGGAAATCCAGAGAAGCTGGAAACAGACTTTCCTACTTTATCATCATTTTAGTTAGGAAGAAGGTCACCCCTGTACTCTGTCCTCTTGTAAGCATGTTCACAGTTGTAGACTGACTGTTTGGTGCAATGCAATAAAGCCCTGGTTGGGTCATAATGATGGCCTGCCCTATCCTAATGTAAGCACTGCTTAAACCGAAGTGGTCGCATCTGCATGTCTGCACAGAATTGTCTACATCAATGGTGTCCTTTAGTTGCTTACCATTGCTGTTGGGCTGCCAAGGATTTCGGTATTCTCGTTAACTATTTTCAAAAGCTTCAGCATTGTCGGATCTTCATAATCAAATCGATGGCTCAGCAATATGGAAACGATTATGTTGCCTACTGCAGCATTTATGATCATTCTGTTATCAAAAGGTTCTCCTACAATAAAAGGAGAAAGACAGCTGATATTTTTTGGAAGTAAAGCTCCATAGCATGTATACTGTATGTGGATTATCATTTTGAGAAACAGGATTTTCCCATTAGTCATCACTCTTAAAGAAGTGTTACACTTTCAGGCGGACCAGATTACAGGTGTTCCTTTCCTCCGCTGCTGAGCTTAACTACGCCCTACTCAGAAATCCAGCCAACCAGAGACTGCCAGAGCACCATCTCTTGAAGAGCTGCTCTACTGTCTTTGGAATAATACAGCCTGCGCTCACAACTCAATGCGACCCAATGCAAGCTAAGAAGTGTAGGTGTAGCTTGGCATGGGAAGTCCACTGAAAAATTAGAGGCTTTTTGCTATTGTGCTGAGGAAGACCAAGCAGCTGAGGTAGCCTCTGAACTACTCAACAACACCACTGGAACATCAGAAACAAAAATGCTTTGTTATATGGAATTAAGGTGATAAATACATTTTGTTCTCAGGGAATACTAAAGAATTCCCTCCCCCAGAATTCCATGAGACCTTACAAAGCAACTTTTTGGGCTGAGGTTTAAGTAAGAATGGGCGAGCCTAGCTCAGCACAAGAAGAGGGAAAACACCTTAGATTTAACTCTTAAAGTAAAACTAAGAATACTTTTTTTTAATATAAAAAGCAACTCCTCCAATGATCATGTAACTTGACATTGTTAGAAATTAACTTATGATTCCCACTTTAGCTATGACATGCTGAAAAAAGTCACGTACATTTAAACAGTATCAGATGTATACCAATGTACATGGCATTACGTACAAGACAAAGTCATAGGTTTTCTTTTAAAAGATTCTAGGATATTTCCTTATCAAGCCCAATTGAAGTCTCTGGTGTTTTACTTGTTGTGAAGTCAGGCTGCATAATAAGCACAGAATAGGGCATTTTTTTTTAAAATGTTTACAATGTGTGTGTGATTTGTACTGTAAAAGCTGCAATGTATTGGCATCATACTGGACAGCCTGGCTGCTGCTCTCACACTAATCACAACAATCCAGGTCTTCAGTGGCCCAACCCTGTGCAGGAGAAGAGGTGTCAGACTACTGGAGAACCTGACCCCTACGTTCCATCTGACAGTAGTACATCTCTCCAGTGTGCTGCCAATATAGGGAAGCTTTTACAGAACAAAGCACACTCGCACGGTACAAAAAAAATGAAAATATATACCTGTTAGGCAGCCTGATAGAAAAACACAAGGCTTTGATTAGGACTTTTATATTATGTTTCCTCTAAAGCCGTGGTTTTCAAATGGTAGGTCACGACCTAAAAGAGGGTTGCATCCCTGTGTTCAGTGGGTCGCCACGTGCCTTCCACTGCACTAGGTAAGAGGCTTCTCAGCCCCTCCCTAGTGCAGCACTGTCACATCTCGCACCGAGCAGCCATTCAAAATTTGCTGCATGGCGCTGAATGTCAGCTTGAGGTGGGGTGGGCTAACGGTATGGCCATGAGGGAGCTCCATCTATACGTGCATTGCTTAAGGCTCCCTTGCGTGCCCTGTAGAGCCTGGACCGGAGTGACGTCACATTCTGGCTCCCAGCATCTCTACAGGGCGAGCAAGGGAGCTGTACAAGTAATTCACATATGGATGGAGCTCTGTCACAGCACAGAAGCCCACACTGGACCCCAGGATGAGGATCCACTCCAGTTCTCTTAAGGTATGGACACTGGGTGGATCTTAAAAATAAAAGAGAAAAAAATATATTTTTTTTAGTGTGTATATGTGTGTGAGAATGTCTGTGAGTGTGTGAGATTGTGTCTGTGATTGTGTGAGATTGTGTCTGTGATTGTGTGTGTATGTCAGTATTTTTGAGGGCCCTTTTATACTAGTACAGTGTGTTAATTGCACTGTACCATGCAATAGCATCCACCGCACATTTTGGTGCGAGAGGTAAGTTGCGTTGCCATTCATTTGAATGGCAGCCCAAACACACCTCCCACTCACAGTTCGATTGCCCGCAAAGGAACTCACAGTACTGTAATGCTGTGTGTTCCAGTGCGCCACGACTTGGGTTGCAGTTCAATGACTATAGACAAATGTGGTTCCTGAGGTTACACAGGTCAAGAACCATTTCCCTAGAGATCATTGCTCAAACTTTTTTCCCAACAGACCACAATTCGCAAACTTGTCGCAATGCCACTAACCCATGGTAGCAACAAATCTGAACCGTATCCTTGGTCTTCATGACCTTTATTATATATGTGGGTATCATCTTTTTTTGAGATATGGCCTAAGTCTATGTAACTAATAACTTAGATGTTAATGTAGTGCCCTTTACAATAATGTCATTTCATTTACAAATGTCTCCCAAAAATTCAACTTTGAGACCTTTGAATGATTTGAACTTTTTCACCAAACAATCACATTCTTGCAGAATCCTGTCTTCGATCGTTTTCGACCCCATCCCGAAATCTCGTAGTGTTGAAAGAGTAAATCTTTTCATCACTTTCCAGTTTTCATTGTGGGAAAGAAACATTCCTGAGGGGTAGAAAGATTAAACATTGTAAGTCCACCAACAAATTATAGATGTTGCTGTAAATCCTAAGTGGCCTCATGTGATTCTCTCCAATAGCAGCTAGCTTCCTGTGTGAAAATACCATAAAACAGGAGTGTCAAACTCAATTTAATCATGGACCGTATCAGCATTATGATTGCCCTCAAAGAGCTGGTTGTGGTCTGTAGTGGGCTATGCGTGGTCTACGGTGGGCTGTGCAGATTCATAGGTGGTTCTGCAGGTTCTGTGGTGGGCTGTGCGGGCTCCAAGGTGGCTCTGCAGGTTCTATGGTGGGCTGTGTGGACTCTGAGGTGGCTGTGCAGGTTCTAAGGTGGACTGTGCAGACTCTCAGGTGGCTGTGCGGTGTCTATTCTGGGCTGTGCGGGAGCTTAGGAGGGCTGTGCGGTCTTACCAGGGGTCCTGGACAGTCTCGGCAGGAGCAGGCATCGTGGATCCACATGAAGGAGGAGCTTTTCACAGGCACTGTAAACAGGCGTCGCCATTCACAGGAAGGCTGCTGGGACCTTCCTGGGGACCTTGGCACCCTTCTTTTGAAGCCTGGTGCCTGTTTACAGTGTCGGCTTAATTTTTTAAATCTAAAGCTGTTGGAGAGGTGCGAGGGCCACATGAAATGGCCTGGCTGGCCATGTGACGCATGTGCCATAAAAGAAGAACTATTGGTTATTAACATCAAGAACTTAAGGAATGTTTATATCCTGGAATCAATAGTGTAAGTAAATATTTGGGGTAATTTGTTGTTAGGGGTTTCATTTAGGGGTTAGGTAGTAGCACAAAAAAGGATAAAGTAGACTTTTCGGTAACTTTAAAAATTTGCATCAATCAATTTCTGACATGTCTAGTAAGAATGTCTAGCACTAGCTCTGGGCCTGCTGATTGTGCCCCTAAACTGAAGATCCTGATGGCACTGTCTTTACTAGGAGAGGAGGGGGGTGTCCTTCCTCTGAGCTATTCAGCTGTGTGCATTTGGCATCCTGCGTGTCTGGTCAGCAGTCACTTACTGGCAGCAAAATAATTAATATTTCACATTTATCAGAAGAAAAAGAGATGAAAAAAGATTGGTATAAGTCAAGAAAACATCAGAAAATGTCATAATGTAAAACATATTACCGTGTCCTTTTTCAAGGTCATGGAAGAGTGGTATTATCGGCCTTCCAGAAAACTCATCTGCGTGATTTACCAAAGCATCTCTTACCGTCTCATATCCAGAGAGGATCACCATTTTTTCCTCTCCTATCTGAATACTGTAGACTGGACCATACTTCTTAGCAAGCTGCAATTGGGCCAGATGTCAGTGGTATTAATATTTAACTGTGCAGCATTTACAAAAAAATTCAAGCTGAAAATACTATATATTGGCGAATGTGCCAGGGTTTGATTAGCTGAGAGGTCTGCAAATCCTGTTTTAAAATTTGGCAAACCTGAAATTAGCAGCAAATTAGCAGAAATTAGATCCTGCAATCATCTCTGAATTGGTGCTGACACTGTCCTTCCTTCTGGAGGGGGGGTACTTTTGTTCCCCATTGTCCCTGTGTGTGTTGCAAAGTAGTAACTGCTCTAAGCTCACTCCGGGGATTGACTTCAATCTTATGTTTAGTTTCCTAATTTGTATTGAGATTGTAGTCCATCACAGGAGTGAGCTTGGAGCAGTGACTACTCTACAACACACAGGGACCATGGGGAACAAAAGTAGCCCGCCTCCAGAAGGAAGGACAGTGTCAGCACCAATTCAGAGATGATTGGAGGATCTACAGCCGAGTGATACACTAATAAGATACATTGTTGTTCATAGTTAAAGTACTTGAATATATTTTCAACATTGAATATATTTACAACATATAAACATGAAAATCACTTAGGCTCATAGTTCCATCCGACCTGTGACAATGAAACTGTCACAGGTCAGCTCAATAGAGCGGGAAGTGAGCGAACACATACCATCACTCCCTCACTTCTCGATCTATCCCTGCAGAGAGCTGTGAATGTCACTCACGGCTTCCTGCAGGGATTCCCCCCTCCTCTGTCCGATCCTCCAGCGCTGACTGGCAGAACGGATGGGGAAGGGGGTGGGAACAGCTGGCTCTGCCTCTAGATAGGCAGAGTCAACTGTCAATCATGCACCTGGGTGGATCTCGCCATGTAATGTCGGGATCTGTCCCGGCTGCGGCATCTCAGTATACCGCGAGCTGTAGCTGGTGGTATACTGAGCTTTGGGTGACGGGAGGATGCTAGTTTGTGTCCTCCCGTTACCTTTAGGAGAACTATGGGAAAAAGCCCTGACCCCATAGTTCTCCTTTAACGCCTGAGTTTTGTGTCACTTTATATGTCTTTTGTAGTTTTATTGCACAGGTGCATAGAACAGCAAACAAAGGATTCCTGGAGGTTTTTTTTGCATAGAACACAGCCTTTGGCCTTCTGGCATTCTGAATTGGTGCTGACACTGTCCTTCCTTCTGGAGGGAGACTACTTTTGTTCTCCATGGGCCCTGTGTGTGTTGTAAAGTAGTCACCGCTCCAAGCTCGCTCCCGGGATGGACTACAATCTCATGTTTAATTTACTAATTTGTAATGCGATTGTAGTCCATCATGGGAGCGAGCTAGGAGCAGTGGCTACTTTACAACACACACAAGGACCATAGAGAACAAAAGTAGCCCCCCTCCAGAAGGAAGGACAGTGTCAGCACCAATTCATAGATGATTTGAGGATCTACAATTGAGTGCTACACCCTGGCACCCAGAACTCATGCCCCAGGACTTCTACTGAGTGCTCCAGGTATCCTTTGCCATCATCCCAAGTATGATATTCTTATGTTGCTCATCCATATTTACCGCCACTAAGAACATCATTGTTTAGAATCAGGTTGGGTAGATAATTACAATACCTGGCATTTTTAATGAAGTACTTGGTCTCTACGCTGACCTGAACCTCACAATACATGTTTCTTTTTCACTAAACAAAATTAGACCATTGATCAACAATGTTATTTTCACCCTTTTGGGACATCATTTGTCTATCAACTTTTCAAGCTATTTATTATTTATTTTTTCAACCAATATCATACATTGGATGCAAACATATGCAATAAGAAACCACTTTCCACCATGGTATGCTATAAACCCTTTTAGAAACCTAGAAACGCCCCAACTCGCAACGTAGGTGTTGGTAAAATGAATTTCAATATTTTGTTACATTTAATTTATTAAATGGGTAAAAGTACATGTAGATGTCAGTATTACCTCAATAAATGATTTATATGGCTTCTTCATGTTCAGGATGTGCATATTTCCAATGAGCGGTAAGGGTGTGGGTCCAGGAGGAAAGTTAGGTGTTTTTTTCCGTCCAAAAAAGACAATGGCCAAAAATACACAGATAAAGATGGATAGAACCAACGTAACTGGATCAGAGGCATTCATAGTGTCAGCAAAATCTGATTGTGAAAGAAAAAAAATTGGTATGATCAGTTCATGGACTCATTAAACAAAACACTGACCTGAACTCCAGGCAGACTGCTCGATACACAGGTAAAATAAATATATGAGAGTTGTTTGACCTGCCAAAGGATTTTTTCCTGTGTTTAGGAACTCATATAACCTGGGCACCTCTGCAGGACAAAAATGCTATTCTGCAGGTACAATAAACCCATTAAAACCCAGACAACTAAAGCATAGTATATGATTAGCTATTGGCAGCAAAAGTTATCCTCAAGTCTTGACTTTTACTGTGAAAGTCAAGCCTGACCCTGCACCTCCCACCCCTTGAGCTTCCATGTTACAGTCAGAAAACCAGGCTTTTTCTACCACAAACTTCTTCTCTAAATTGGTTATTGCCTTTCTACCATTTTACCAGGCTGTGGGTGAACAATTTAGCTCAGAAGGTGCACATAATCCCTCAAACATTTGCACAAATCTCTCTGGAGGATCCTCTAAAGTATGATAAAGCTTGGTGCCCTTCAGCATTGGGCTGATGTTATGAGAGGGTTGATCCTGTTTTTTGTCCCCTTCCTTTTTAAAAAAACAATGCTAACAGCCACAGGGGCTGGCATAAATATTAGAAAAGAACCATGCACTTAGAAAGTCTTCTTGCAATAGGGAAACCTATTTGTATAGTTGGTTCTTTAGGCTGAAGAAAAACCCATAAGACCATGTCCACCAAATAGGCATTTACTGATGTTCTTTCTCTCTGCAAGTCAGCCCCACATTCGGATCTGCCATGGTCTGCATGGATTGGTTAACCAATCTTTATATACAGCTGCTAACTTATATATGATATAATATAATAAAAGCCTACCTTTAAACTACAAGAGTCTTACCTTAATGCTACCTTTGAGAGACACTTCAATGCCCAGGAAATTTGCAATGCTTTCTCTCAGTGCACAATGGCGTCACAATATCTGAATTTATAAGAGAATATCAGGTTTTTTCAACCTGCAGTAGAGCAAAGGGCACATTGCATAAGACTTTTTTTGATGAAATACCTGCTTACCTGCCAGTGAACTCTAAAGTTAAAGCCAAAGACAAAGCACAACAGCACAAACAATTTAGTAAAAATATACAACACTCTGCCCCACCACTTTCCAAAGCCAAACTGGAGTCAGATGAGTGCATGTCACGTACCTGGTTGGAGACTGAGTGCGTGAGAAGGCCTCCCTTGCACCTCATGTCCCGAGGAGATGGGTCAAAGTAGACAGCGAGTGGCATGGGTGCCAGTGGTGATAACACCGTGCAAGCTGAAAACCAGGTGCTGTAGTAGAACCGGGCCAATTCCGAAATCCAGGTCAACAAGGCCTGGTCACACCAATCGGGCAGGTACGGTACACAGGGATGAGGCAGAGGCAAAGTACAGTAACAATCCGAGGTCAGGGGCAGGTGGCAGGCAAGATTGGTCAAAGCATATCCGGGTAGACATTTAGCACATTTAGCAAAGAATCACAGGACACAGAAATACAGGAGAGCTGAAGACAATCCAGCAATATGGAGACATGCAGGCTGAGCTTAAATAGCGGGATCGGTTAGTTCACGGTGTCATTTTCTGTGCGCCGTTTGGTGCGCTTTTTCACGGCTGGTCCGTGGCGCGTGTGCAAGTGCCTATTTGCCAATTGTATGGAAAACTTGACTTTGCACATGCTGACAGTGCATTCCGTTCTTGTTGAAGGTCCTCTGGATTTTGGAAGGCTCAGTAGATATCATTGGTTTTATATTTGGCCTGAATATGGATTGTTATAACAGCAGTAATAGTACAGCAATGTTACAGGGTGACAGTAAATTAAAATGCTAAAAAATGCCAAATAGTGACTCTTACAAAGCAGAAAAAATAAAGGAGGATGGAGCAAATGGCAATGTCTGACAAAAAATACAATCTAAATATCCACAATATGCTTTGGATAGTTATCCATTATGGACCTCCCTCCCTAACTAACTAATACTGTAGTGTCCTCCTCTGCTGTCTTCTGCTGTGTGGAATGTTGATGTTTAGTTTAGTGTATATGTTTGTTCCCCTGCTTATAATATAAATGAGATTAGTTATATTATGTTATGGAGGTAAAACAGAGGGTAGGTCCTGCGAAGTCCAAGGTAAAGGGGGAATCCATTCTCTAATTAAAAGAACCCATCTAGTAGACATGTGCACTGGCAAAACAATTTGTTTAGTTTCGTTTTTGATTCGGATTTTGTGTTATTTTGTTTTACGATATTCGGGTGTGAAAGTCATTTCGGACGAAATTCGTTAGCGGTAGTTCGTTTGAACGTTCGTTTCGTTTTCGTTTCTTATTCGTTTCGTTCATTCGTTCGTTCATTTGCAGCAAAGTGACATTTGAGGGGAAAAAATGTTTTTCTCCTCCTCTAATATCACTTTGCTGCAACGAACAAACGAAAAGAATAAGAAACGAAACGAACGTTCAAACAAACTACCGCTAACAAATTTCGTAAACAGAAATTCGGATTCATTATATCAGTAATTTCGGAATTCGGATACAAAACGAATCGCACATGTCTACCATCTAGTAGGTTTTACTTTCCAAGGCATTTAAGGCTGAATCCATCTGACTGAAGGAATTGATTGGCAGTAGAGGTTGGCACCTTCAATGTTGAGGCTTGAGGTCCATACTTAAATTAAAGGTAAAACAGAACACACATCTTTGAAGCTTAGACCACCCTCATGCAACCGGGAGTTTCTAGAGCTGCACAACCTGGAACAGCAGCCAACATATATCCCGCAACATTTGTGGACTCTCTGAACAAGGGTGTGTGAGACTCATCCAGATCCTTCTGCAGACATTAACCCCCTGGATCTATCGGTTCAATCCAGATAGCCTCCTGTTTCAGGAGTCCACTCTTCTCTGACTCCTTCTCAATGTCTACAGCTAAGGAGACAACTTTCCCCCTTTTGGAGTAACTACACTGACTGAGCCTTTTCACTCTGCAGCAAGTGCCCAATCATTCATCCCCTTAACCGGCACACACTTCACTTCCCAAAACACAGCGCTGATGGACACAATGAAAGCTCAAACATCTGAATGCTCAGGAACTCTACTGAAGACTTATTCTATGCAAAACATAGCAACATTTTAATAAGCAGATAAGGAACCCAAGTTTATTGACTATAAAATGACTCTTCAATGGCTGATGGTCTCTTTTGCTGCCTAACCATTTCCCACTGGTGTCACACATATTCACACTGAGGTGGGCCTTAAAAGCAAGCTGATGCATGAATGCGTCCCTGTGTTGATCTGAGGGTGCACTCATTTGGCTCCCCCAGAATTGTGCCCTAGCTGTCACCAACATGTCATGGTCAACTACCATGATAATCCTACACCTCCCGATTACATTATTTCCATGTAGCCAATCACAGTGATTACATAATCAGGAGCCCCACCTACTAGCCTGTGGTGTCATGACCCACTTAAAGAGCCTGCAGCAATAGGTTAACAATGATTTTCCATAGGAGTCTCTTAAAGACCAATTTCACCTTCTTGTCCCCAGTTATCCATCTACAGGCCTCCCCAACTTTGTATACTTATCTCAGTGATGACCAGGGTCCTCTTCCTTTATGCCTCTGCTCTGGTAATGGGAGGTCCTCAATGATGCCGAGAGCATTACTGATGTGATGACATGAATAACTACTGTGATAAGATAATACAAAAGATGAACCACTTGGAAACTATATTATATTGCAGGCCATGTTACATGCATACAAGTGTGGAAAATATTTATTTGGTCTAGGTGTATTTTAAATGATAGAGACAAATATCAACCAAAGATCCAGAAAAAAAAACACACACAATACAAATGTTATAAATTGAGTTGCAGTTCAGTGAGTAATAATACGTATTGGATCCCCTTCCAACCAACAGTAATTTTGGCTCCTCCCACAGACTGGCCATGTGGTACACAGATTAGTTCTGTCAATTTAAGAAGGTGCTCCTAAGGACAACTTGTTATGTATATAAAAGACATCTTTACTCCATTCAGACCTCACCACCATGGGCAAGACCAAAGAGCTGTCAGAGGACGTTAGGGACAAGATTGTAGACCTGCACAAGGCTGGAATGGGCTACAAGACTATCAGCAAGAAGCTTGGTGAGAAGGAAACAACTGTTGGAGCGATTATTTGCAAATAGAAGGAATACATAATAACCATCAATCGCCCTCGGTCTGGAGCTCCATGGAAGATTTCGCCTCATGGGGTAAGGATGATAATGAGAAAAGTGGGGGATCAGCCCAGAACTACACGGGAGGAGCTTGTGAATGATCTCAAGGTAGTTGGGACCACAGTCACTATACAAACCATAGGTAACACAATACACCACCATGGATTTAAATCCTGCAGTGCCCGCAAGGTCCCCCTCCTCGAGAAGGCCCATGTACAGGTCCGTCTGAAGATTGCCAATTAACATCTAAATGATTCAGAGAAGGATTGGTAGAAAGTGCTGCGATCAGATGAGGCCAAAATTGAGCTCTTAGCATTAACTCGACTCGCCGTGTTTGGAGGAAGAAAAATGCTGAATATGACCCTAAGAACACCATCCCTACAGTCAAGCACGGAGGTGGAGACACTATGCTTTGGGGCTGCTTCTCTACTAAAGATACAGGCCGACTTTGCCACATTGAGAGGCCAATGGACGGGGCCATGTATTGTAAGATCTGGGATTAGAACCTCCTTCTCTAAGCCAGAACACTGAAGATGGGTCGTTGATGGGTCTTTCAGCATGACAATGACCAAAAACATACCACCAAGGCAACAAAGCAGTGTCTCAAAAAGAAGCACATTAGGGTCATGGAGTGGCCTAGCCAGCCTCCAGACCTTAATTCTATAGAAAATGTATGGAGGGAGCTGAAACTTCGAGTTGCCAAGCGACAGCCAAGAAGCCTCTTTAGAGAAGATCTGTGAAGAAGAGTGGACCAAAATCCC